TAAAGTCGCTTTATATATATATATAAAAGAAAGAGAAGAGAGAGCGAGAGAGAGAGAGAGAGGGAGAAGAGAGGAGAGGAAGGAGAGAGAGAGAGAGAGGAGAGAGAGGAGAGAGAGAGAGAGAGGAGAGAGAGAGAGAGAGAGAGAGAGAGAGAGAGGGGAGGAGAGAGAGAGAGAGCGAGAGAGAGAGAGAGAGAGGAGAGAGAGAGAGAGAGAGGAGAGAGGAAGGAGGAGAGAAGAGAGAGGAGAGAGAGAGAGGAGGAGGGAGAGGAGAGGAGAGAGAGAGGAGGAGAGAGGAGAGAGAGAGAGAGAGAGAGAGAGAGAGAGAGAGAGAAAGGAGGGAGAGAGAGAGAGAGAGAGAGAGAGAGAGAGATATATATATATATATATTATATATATATATAATATATATATATTTTATATATACATTCAGTCCATTGCCTGCTTAAGGAGACAGGGTACGTTCGTCGGCTTGGCAGGAGCCTGGAGGTCCGTTACACGATGGCGGCCGAGGCTAGGAACAACCTAGTAGCCGCCTCCCAGAACATCGAGGGCGCTCACCGCTATCTCAGCAACGTGGAGTTCCCGTACTGCAACCCGGATGAAGTGGACACCCTCAACAAGGTAAGGCGCCACCGCTATTTCAGTGGCATTGAGTTCCCCTACTGTAACCCTGACGAAGTGGACATCCTCAGCAAGGTAAGGCGCCAACGTTATTGCAGTGACGCGGGCTTCCATTCTGGCATTTTGAGTTCAAAATTATTTTGCTGGGTTATCGGCTTTAAACATACCAGGAGGTAACGGTAAAACGACGTTTCCGAGCAGGCATTCGTCACATCGACAGTACTTCACGTTTCAAGCTGTGCATGTGATCACGATTGGAGTCTCCAATGCAACGAGTGAGTCCTTTGTCCGAATTTACATCATTTTATGCATGTTGCGAAACTTTAAAGCTCATAACCTTGACATTCACGATGCATGACTTTTTCTCAAGGTTCATCGGTGACATTTTACTTAAACGTGGTAAATGACGCTTAGTTCTCACCGTAAATGCACTCCAAAGGGGTGTTCTGGATTATTTTTTATCGCTATCATTTTACAGTCCCGTACTGTCGGGCTAGCTGATTGCTAATGGTCAGGTCACCCAAGTTCAAGTAAGGTTAAACTTTTGTCTTGGTCTTTGCAAGGTGGCCAGACATGGCCTTTTTTAATTGCATACAATAGTCGCTCTCACGAAGGATTACGGTGCAAAGTTTTTTAATTTCAGTGTTTTTTATTCTGACCGCGCACCTTTTGTCAGCGACTTCCGGCTAAAAATGTGTCGCAGAGATTTAAAATCATGTTTGACACACAATTTGATAAAATCGCGGTTGGCTGGTTATAAGCAAGATCGTATTTATGATATGACGCTAGATCTCTTCCTATCAGTTTTTTGAAAACTTATTAAATAAAAGCACCACAAAATACCAACATTCGGTGGTATTTTGACATTCTGACGCAGGCGCGACAAAGCAAGCTCATTTGTTCTGGCAACATTCCTGCTCATAAATATGCAGTAGTTGCAGAACCTGCTTAGAGTTTTCAGAGCTTGCTTACAGCACCTACAAAGCTTGCCTGCAATACTCACATGGCTTCCTTACAGTACCTACAGAGCTTACGCGGCTTACACAGGTTAACGTGATCCAAGATGAATGATTATTGAATGACATGATCCTTGAGTCCGCCTTGCCCCACACAGCACCGCTGTAAACAATAATATGGCAGCCGGCATCCAACGCCTTCACCGATGCGCATCGCTGACTGCCAGGCATAGTATTTCCTACAATTTGGGTGAACTAGAGTCATGGGCTGAAGAAATATCTATAAATGGTCTCGTTTAATACAACCAGCTTATGTTTAGTTTGACACATGTGGTCTTCATCTTACATGTCAATGGAGTTGATAAAACAACGTTCTCCTTGTCCGTGTTCAGAATATACTAAGATTCACAGAAACATTTGAAAGTTTAAAAACTTGTAGTGCCTTAAAAGGAGCGTTTCACATTTGTATGAGGCTTTAACTGAAAAAACCATCTTAAAATCATCGGTAAACTTCACAGCCTTGTCTTTTCTTAAGGCCTTAACACGCGCTCGGGTTGGGAGGGGGGTCAGATTGAGCCCACCCCCCAAAAGGTTTTTCCACAGTGCTTTTCCGAACCGCATCGTATCCGTGCCAAAATTGGCCTAGCTGTAGGCAATCGAATAGCAGATCGCTTGACTTAAAAATTTAGATGCACCTTGTAATGTCACGACCTATGGCAGGTCAAAGTTAGGCCATGGTTTCAGCGAAGGCAATTTCTAGGGAATCGTTCAATCTGATGCAGCAACGGAGTGTTTGAAAAAGCCATACATCTCTGAGATGCTTTCTTAGGCAACCCAAATGTTGAATGAGCAAATTACGTTGCACTAAGTCAGGTATGAAGGTCAGACCAAGGTAACCAGCTTGCTTATGACTCCAGGGCTTGCTGTATGGGATACTTTCTGGTGCTCATTTCGAATTTATTGATAGCAGGAACCGCATTAGATATCTTCCATTGACTATTTAGAGGTCAGGATAAGTCATTGACCTAAGATGACACAGGTCGACATTTTGTTTTTAGGAACATAGTCCCTAGCGTAATCTTTGTCGCTTATTCAAATGCAAATGCAATTCAACGCTTATTCAGAGCAGTCTTGTACATTTCTGGTCGCCATGACCTTCAAAGGGTCAAACAAGGTCACTTACCGTAAATGAGCTTGTGACCTTTTGCTTAGAAACAGTTATCTAGGTTCTGGGGCACTATGAAGACCAACCTGGAATTTGACCTTGTTTGACCTTATTTCACCTGAAGGTCATGACTTAGAAACCTCATACTTTGATCTAAGCGAGTTTATGTACAGATAAATATACCCTGTAAATTTGGTATTTCTAGCTTTCTTAGTTCTCGAGATCTCAGTGGGTTCAAATTGACCCCCACCCGAGCGAAGGGTGTCTTGCCGGCCACCCGGTCCCTATTTAACTCTTTCATTTCCGAGCGGTGCGCCCATGGAGATATGTAGACTTTTTCGTACCGGCTATATCAAGGTCACCCAGACATCTATGATATTGAAATAATGTTGTTCAAATCCCGCCGTTTTATTGGCGACGCGGTGACCAAGGCAAAAAACCGTTGAGTCGTTCAAATTTCGCGTTCGTGACCGCGATTTCTGGATGCAACGGCCGTCAGCTGGCTTTCAATCAATGTTGTGCAAGGTATGATAACACAATCAAACGCTGGCGCACTGAGGAGCATGCCTAATAAATAGATGACTTGTGTTGTCTAGAGTAGTCTTTTCCACTTAAAATTATACTTATAGTCACAAGCCAGCTAACTTCATCATATCTGATGCTTGCTTCAGTATATTCAAATGTGGAACATTCTCTTTAATTCATCGTGAAAACAGCTGATTCGAATATTCGTGGAGCCTATCTTACAGCTTTCACTGTTTGAACTGATGTGGGTTGTTTTATTATTGGTGCAGCGAGACGGGCCAGCACAACGATAGCCTTCAACCCTTTGACCTGACATAACATATCCCTTGTCACACCTGTCGCTGTTCACTAGGACGCATGCCATTCAGTTTTCCAAGTTCTCTCCAGCGCGGTTTTCTGCTTTGTGGTAGCCTGTTTAGTTCCTCAGGTAATCGGAGCCCATAAAGGGTCAATTTGGCCGCTGCAGTCTCATTTGGCCGTCAAAGGTCACATTCATCTTTGTTCAGCCACACTTATATAGCCCAGCTCGACGAAACCTTAACACTGCCTTTTTCTCTTTGTCTTAATCTTGCCTAGTTTTGGAGATTGTTGTGTTTGTGGAAAAGTTAAAGGCTTCTGGCCAATGAAAATGTCGGAGTTGAAAATCCATTACCGTGAAGTTAAAATCGAAGCACTTGGACCCAGCCGATGAATTATTTAAGGATTGGCTCTCATGTTCAGCAGTTGGCTTGGCAAATACCTCGCTTACGTCAAAAATGATGGCGTGCAGTTCATTATGTCAAATAAGCTGTGGCTGACTTTCCGGCTAGCCATTCATTAGTTTTTATCGTGTAAAGCTGTTATTTTGTGGCAACTGTCGTAGCATGCAAAATTCACCAACTCCAAACTTTTTTATTTCAACAGAAAACTTGTTCAGTGAAATAGACAAATTTCACCTTTTAGTTCGATGATATGAAAGTGTGGTGGCGTTTGGCGATAATTTCGTTATGGATTCCTTGGTTATGGATGCCCTGAAACAAAAACTTCAGATTACGAGTCATCCGTTTACATTCCTCGCTACGATTTTTTTTTACAACCCAAAAATGTTGCTATTCATTTGTAGCTCCTGAACGCAAAGTGGAACGGCACCAACGTAGGTTCAAGCATCCCGGTGTCGGGCTTTGTGGGCTTACTGAAGCGCTGAAACAAACGTCAGCAACCTCTTAATCAGCATGCAGAACGTTGCGAAATGAAGCTGGATGGCGATGATGATAACATAACGAAGCTAGAAATAGCTATTTAAGACTGCACCAATTAGTGCCATACATCGCTCAAACTACCACTGCGTAATGTAGGAGCGGTTTCTCTGCCCGTTGACCTGTAGAGGTGTGGCTATGCCGATTTTTTTAAAGGGAAACGCGACGTACACGTCGCGCCCCATTTGTAGAAGCCCCAGCGACTGCATTAGCTATATTAGCGCACATGTGCCATGGCGCAAGCAGGCCTCGGGCTCAGGACCACCACGTCGGAGTCCAATGTGTTGACCACTCGGCCATTACGGTCCCATATGCTGACTGAAGCCGTTACTGTCCTGCGTATCAAAGACGTAGCGGCCGTTGTATCAAGAAGTGAAGCCGTTGCAAAGCCGTTACTCCGCAGCGGTGGGAGTATCTGGGTACATAAAAGTACGATCCAGGTTACATCATCGCTCTGCTAAGCCCAAAGAACGCATTTCTCCCCTTCCCCTGCAAAAACAAATGTTTGGATGACGCTGTTAGCCCGGCTCCATTACTATCGCGCATTCATATAAGTCAACGTTGAACGTCCAGTGCGTTAGCACTAATGGCATGTACCGTGCAACGGCCTTCACATTTTTGCATTAGTGACAATGTATTTGTAGAGCGGAGCGCGTAACGATCGCCGGCCACGCATCGCACACGGCGGCGTCTGAGCCGACCCGGCGGTGTCATGTGCATGTGTCATGTGCTGTGTCAAGTGCATGTGTCATGTCCAGACCAGCGTAATCCGCGCCTCTACCTTGCCGTAGAGGACTCCGGGTCGGGTGCGTGCAGACAGACCACAGCTACGCTCGGACGTGTCTTACGCAAAATTTCACAGCTGGTGCAGTGTTTGTGTCTGATGGAGAACAAAGCGGAAGCTGAGACAGATGCGTAAATCTGCCAGGCGGGAAAAATCAGACATGAAGCAAAAGACAATGTAATTCAGCTGACACATTGACGTTGCCCGTAACGGTCGTTTGGCACGCGCCTACTCCACCTCCCGCGTTAATCAATGAAGTAATGTCACACTTCATGCCACCAACGTTGATATGTGTATTGTGTCTATGTAGATGACTGTATGGCATATAGGGGCTCACTCGCATCTGACGTGTGCAGCAGGCGTCTTGCAACTTCTACCATGGCATGCGAGTGTGCATATAGTATATCAACAAAATAAAACTCAAGAACAAATACCCAAGAGCCGCCGCCCTCTCTTAATGCCGTCAAATTTATCGGGTGAGACGGATGATCAGATTTTAAATTATGCGCTTTGTGAAGAACTCTTTAAATAGAGCCACTTATTTGGGGCCACTTTTTTTTAGCTTACATGATACCGGGGCCCCGATCCGAGAAACAGTTTCCAAGCGAGTTTGAGCATGCATACAACACTTGTGTTTCTTTCGATCACGGCTGTAAGCGTATGTCAGCCACACACGGACAAATCCCGAGAAGTAAGCCTTGGTGCTCCCCATTGAAGCTAACTTTGAAGGATTTGTCAAAGATACTCCTGTTCATATGTATACTTATTTTCAATAGGACATGGCAGCGTCAGGTTAAGGGAATAATATGTATTTTGGATGAATCTAAAACCTCACCGTTAAGCCCTTCTTCCGGTCTTTTTGCAATACCGCACGCTGCAGGTATTGCAAATAATCTCCTTACCAATTACTGATTGTCCCCACATGCCGAAAGACCTTGGACTTAGAGCCTCCTGGATTTCATGAGAAAGCGCTGTTTGTCTTTAGAAGCTTTGTATGAGTGCCAGGTAAAACATCTAATAAAACACCTAACAAAACACCTGTCTTCGTAAAATTGTTATTCCTCACGATGTAAGGTTCATCTTCCAATTATATGATTGGAGAAGTTTTCATGACTCCTGTGTCAATACGAAGAGAGACGTTTGCAATGAGATCTAATGGTCATACTGGTCCCTGCGTCTGCCACAGACCCGTCTTTAATGATACGGTGACAGACTTAATGAGGCTGGAGTTTTGCCAACGACCGTCCTCAAATGTCGCCACACAGCGGGCATGCCATGCGTGCTTCCACCCAGACCAGCCAGGACCTCCTCCTCACTCATGTGGCGGAGCTCGGCAACGGAAACAGTCGGCCTTTGATCACGCCTCAGGCGTAGAGCAGTCAGAGACGGAGAGACGCCTGGACAGCTCTTGCACGGAACTCCCTGGTGCGGGATAGCGCTCCGGTTTTCGCTCCGTGTTGGTTTTGGCGACAGGCGTGCTGTCGGCCGGAGCTTCGGTTCGAAGGTCTAGCGTGGCACAGATTGCCTAGCGCTGTTTTGAGAGCCAGGGGACGTTGATTTTACAGAAAGGAGTGTTTGCGTCCCCGGAGGACTCCCGCGTAGGAGCCGAACGGGCCCGTGTTCGGCTCAGCAGCCTGCCCGGGCGGGGTACATGAAGAGGAGCGGGAGACGCCAGCGGCTCGTGTCAGCGGTACTGCAGGGTGGACTCACAATCCGTGTGCGAGGGGAGAGTTCGGTACTGCTCCAAGCTGACGGTGGACTCGTAGGTCCAGATCCAAAGGTGTTTGCCGGAAATGAGCACGAGTCTGCAATATAGGTGGTCGCACACGAGTGATGGTGAGCGGTGGAGCCAGGAGCATGAGACTTGTGAGAACAATGCGATCATTCGTATCCAGCGGGCAATCCATGTCATTGGCCGGGATCGAGTCTGAGTTAGTACAAAAATTACCGCTCTCCGTTACTTTCGTTTCCCGCACACGGGCGAGCAAGCGACGAATTTAAGAGCTAGACCAAATGAGCATGTCACTCGTTAAACAAGCTGAAAAATAAGAACCCGAAAATATTACAAGAAAAAGTTTTTTAGACTTGACCCGAACAGGAGAACATGAAGCCTATTCTAACGAACCCTAATAAACTCAACCGTGGGTGGCATTGCATGTGTGCACAGCCGGCTAGCTAGTGCCTCTGTCGAGCCTTTTCAGTGTTTAGCTAGAAACAAACACCACTTTGTGAAGAACGATGGGAATGCATGTAATGATGTATCTAAAGTATTTATTGATGTACTCATTTCACCAGCATCCCCCGGCATGTCAAAGACCACTTATTTTTTAACTAAGGACCTAAATTGCTGGAAATCAAATGCTCATGCCATTTCTTGCGTATATCGAGCGTGAACCGCCAGAACGTATGTGCGCATACAACTGTGGGTGCGATGAAGATCAATAGCGACCAAATCACTCAGCTGTCTCTGTGCTACGACTTTATTTCTGTCCTCATGGCAGACTTTATGTTTTCACTACGTAACAATTATGAAGTAGATCTCAGTTTTAGGAGATCCCATTAACATGCTTTAAGGCTGCACCACTCACTCCGGCAGTAGCGAACGGTTTCTAATTTTCAACTAGCTTCACTCGCCCTCACCTTTTTGGGACGTAAATGTGCAAGCTTCTTCAATCGACAAAACGTTTGGTACTTTTTCCTGTTCTGTCCTTTTTCTGAATCCTGCTGTCAGCGGTCGCGTGCAGGGGACTACGTGCCTCAGTGTCTGACTCAGTCAATTTTATGGCTATTAAAATTGACCGAGTCACATCATCTACCTAATAACTAGAAATAAGAGAGCATTTTAGACCTGCTACGTTAGAACTGGTGTGGTGTATGACCCAGCGTCAAGCTTGACCTGGAGTGAGGTGTGACCTAAGGTGACACCTGACCTGATTGAGGTGTGACCTGAGGTGACACCTGACCTGGAGTGAGACGCGACCTGCTGTGACACCTGACCCGGAGTGAGGTGGGGCCTGTGGTGCTGCCTGACCTGGAGTGAGGCGTGACCTGTTGTGACGCTTGACCCGGAATGAGGTGTGGCCTGAGGGGACACCTGACCTGGAGTGAGGTGTGACCTGAGATGGCACCCGACCTGGAGTGGGATGTGACCTGAGGTGATGCCTGACCTGCAGTGGGATGTGACCTGAGGTGACGTCTGACCTGAAGTGAGGTGTGACCTGAGGTGACGTCCGACCTGGAGTGAGGTGTGACCTGAGGTGACGTCCGACCTGAAGTGAGGTGTGACCTGAGGTGACGTCCGACCTGGAGTGAGGTGTGACCTGAGGTGACGTCCGACCTGGAGTGAGGTGTGACCTAAGGGGACAACTGACCTGGGGTGAGTTGTGACCCGAAGTGACAGCCGACCTGGGGTGACATCTGACATTCAGTGAGGTGTGACCTGGGGTGACATCTGACCTGGAGTGGCACCTGACCTCGCTTACCTCTGTCGCGCCGCAGGCCACATCGTACGTGTTCACCGACATGCAGTCGGAGGAGCGGCACAGCCACGCCGGCCAGTGCTATGAGATCACCCACAAGAGGGCCGCCGCGCTGCTGCAGTGGTTTGACCAGGTCAGTGCTGTCTTGGCGCCCTGTTGTGAGCGGAGCATGTGCTGCAACCACCGCCAAATCCCGCCATGGAGACCCCCACTGACGATCCTCTCGTCGCCGTGCGCCATCGCCTGAGCCCGCTGGGGGCTCTTACATCGGGTTTGGTAAGCCAGCTGGGATGGTCGAGCTTCTGGGCGCACCGATTAGCAGGCTTTTGGCGCGCCAGAGCAGCAGTTATGACACGAAATTGGTTTCGTTCAGTGCCACTAATGGCCGACGTTGGAAATGGTCTCGTCCCGTATCTAGGCCGTGGTGCTGACGCATTTAATGACAAATGTGAGTTGAATGGATAGCCCGCTTGAGTTCAAACAGAAAGGTGCAAATTTGATTATTTCGTGCATTTACGACCATTCAGTTTTTCACAATACATTATATGTGCCGGGTATATTTATGCTCCTTTGTGTTTTTGTCATGGCATGACGGAATAAAACCACGCAATCTATGTTACAAACGCACGGTGATCAGATACTTTGATCCGCGACAGGTGATGACACCAAAATGAGACCAAAAAATCATGAACGAATGCACCCGCGATGTCTGGATTCTGCCTCCGCTTAGTTCCGTTTCTGACCGGTCAGCTGAATAGATCTGCTTTGCCAGTGAGCTATTTGGTGTCCTAATGGGACGGATTGTTGTCCGTTGGTCGCAACTGGTGACATCGACCCTCATGGATTATTAGGTGCTTATAAAGTAAGGCAATTACCTGGCACATTTTCCCCCGTGGAATCCTGCTGTTTGCTATAAATAACGCATGATCAGATAGTCTATTTTCAATTAATTTGTTGACTGGCTCTATAAGAAGTGAGTAGAGTTAAAGGCAATTTGTTTTGCTTTTAATCTTGTTGCGATGTGTGTATGGATATGCCCTAAACCAAATGGAAAACAACACGCTTCAAGTTATGTTTCAATCATGATAATCAAGCTCATACCGTTTGCTCAATGGCTATCACCCAGACGATTCTGCCGTCATACTTTCTTAAATCAATTGGCAAAGCCGCACGGCACAGTTAAGTTAAGTGAAGCTAGGCGAAGTATTGAAGCTTAGTGATTCACTTCGCATGAAGAATTGATCGTCCATAGGCTCAAAGAAGTCCTGATCAGTGGCACTTCAAAGAAGCTACCAACAGCCGACCAGCCCACCGCTGAAGACATGAATGGTGTTTAAAAATACACACAATGGCAGCAGGCAATAGCCCTCAGAGCCATGCGCTGGTTCCCGCCGTAGTTCCTAAGTTAACACGCCCGCAGGCGGCGCTTCATTCATGCTCCCACCCTTAGTGCTGTCTGGCTGCCTCGCGCCGCGCAGATGCATGATCGCCCGAACGGCGGTCGAACATCGATCCTTGCGCGATTGCCTTTGAGCTCACGTGTGCGATTGGCTGCCTCGTCGCATGTACGCGGGATCACCGTCCAGCGCCGCTGACTTCGACCGCCGCGCATGAAGACGACGACCGGCTGCGAAGCGCCGCCGATCGCGCACCGGCCGCGTGCGGGCGTGTGCGCGGCCGTGTCCGCCCGTGGGTTTGTTGATGTCGGCGTGTTTACCGGCATCGACCGATCGCCTCGCGAGCCGCAGCGTCGCGCCGTCGGCCTCAAAAGACGGCCACGTCCCGCGCCACTGGCGCCGTCAATGCATCGTGGACGCCTCAGCCGGCGGCCGTGACCCCCGCTGAATGCCCGCGGGCGCCGCTGGTCAGCAGCGGCCCCGCAGAGGGCGCCCTTGTAGATATTGGAGCAGCCGCGGCGACGACGTGGTGGCCGCCCGTGCCTGCGGAGGGATGATATGGCTGCCCGCGCCTGCGGCGGAATGATATGGTCGCCCCGCTCATGCATTCTGAGCGACGCAGTACTGTTGGCGACTGAGTCCAGCGAGCCGGAGGTTCATTACGTTCATGGACACCACCGATGGCAAGGCCGCGTTAATCTCGTCGATCGTTTCGGGCCCTCCGCAGTCGTGACGTTGGTCACGGTTTCCTGGGGTGTTCTGCGCTGTCGCGCGCCTGTACGCTCCTGGTTTTTATAGTTCCTGAGCAGAATCGCACAGCCTTCGGGCGTCAGAGACTTTGCATGCTAGCGCAAAGACATTATGAGCATGCTCAAGAATAAAGGCATGGGAATAGTGAGCATGTTTGAGGAAAAACGTAGGCTGTTTCGTAACAGCCGAGTCCGCAGCACCTTTGCCGGAGATTGGGATGTTCGGTCGCCATTCTATATTGTCAAGTCATGAACGATTACCTGACATCGGTCCGGGCGAGTTAGTGCATTTCTGTGCATTTCCTTTGAACTGGTGGGCAGATATGCGGCTACGTGCGAAGCTACAGAATCATCTGGGGAATTACGTATCCTAGTATCCTGTTAACAGCAGCCTGATGGGACGTTTCAGTGATCCGACGCCCCAGCGACAGCACCGAGGCTGACACCGCGCCCAGCAACTTTGCTCATCGTTCTCAGACAGCGTATACTTGAAATTAGTGTTTTTGTTATCAGCTAGTCAGAGGTAAGGTTAGCAAACTTTTCAGCAGGTGTGTAAAAGCTACTAAAAGTTATGTAGATGCCGACCTTTTGAGTCCCGTCACGAGTGCTAGACCATATGGCGTGTGTTGCAGGTACTGACGACAACAATCATGGAAGATCTGGCGCAGGTCAACAAACGCGTCAAAGAGACATCTCTGGCGCTGCGTCAGGAGCGAATCCGTCTGATCAAGCTCAAGGTGGGTCCGTGCGCCTCGTGTGAAATGCATTCACTTGGTGTCCAACGCTGTTCAATAATTACTGTGCTTGCTACATGCCATTTTGGGCGTTTTCCCCGCGACTAGGATTTCTTGTTGCATTTGGTTTCCTGCTCACAGGGTGGTTAAATTTGTCTGACTTGTTCGACAAGGTTGGCGACAAAATGTATGTTTTCGCAAGAAGCTTGGTGCCCAAAAATCCTGTTGGCAGAACCTTTTGGAAACAGCCACAACGAAATAGCACAGCTTTCTCAGCAAAAATTAACTTGAGTTCTCTATACACAGATAGTATGCCTGCATGGTAATATATTCCGTCGCACAAACAAGCAACGCTTTTCGTACAGTGAGCTAGAATCGCTTTTGAACCAGGGTGGGAGCGAAAACTCCATCGCAAAAAGACCGTGCTAGAGTGAAAAAAATCAATTTACAAAAGATGGAACTTATGGGCTAGTGAAGGATGCTTCAGCAAACACAGACATACATTTCAAGTTGGTATGGACGTAATGCCATGAACCTGACAAAACTCTTTTGTTTTTTAACATCTTAGGTCATTGAAGTGAAACAGAATACACTGAAGCATAATAATTTCATAACAGTGTAATAAACATAAAACTGTGTAACACCAGTAATTATGATGCTGCTCTTTCCACTTCACCTTCACAGCATCTTTTAACACAAAGCAAAGCAAAGGAATTCAACAACAAAACAACAACAGAACATTCAACAAGCATAAAACACTCAAACAAAAAACCTTAGACTCCTACACATCAGCCCATCACCAAGTGAAACACGATAAACATACCTCTGGCTTCTGTTAAGATGGGGTCAGGAAAAACGTACATTTCTTCACTGTTTCTTACAAGATACTGATGCATATTTCCATGGAAGTAGGCTCACTATGCCTAGCCTAAAGAGGCTTTACTTCATCTCATCCTATCTAATAAATGCATCACAGCAGCATTTGTGAGTCACTGATTCTTGAACAATTATTATTGTCACTTGTCCTGCAATTAACCAACTTAACCTAATTTAGAGTAGCCCATATATGGCAGTAGCGCATATAGGGCATAGGGCAGAATTTTGCCATTAAGCACTTCTGTATTAGCTGCTTCAGGTCTGTCCCAAAGCTAAGTATGGCAGCATAAGGTAGCCTGGTGAGGTGGACACTGGAAAGGCTTAGATTGATTATTATCGAGCACCGTTATGAACCAAAACACGGCTAACTGAGGGTTAAACAAGGCAAAAATGGCGGTAAAAATCAGTTCCGTGCTTCAAATCGTTTCCTTCATTTCCTGTGAATTGTTCAGTGCTGGGTGTACATCAAACGCGTTCGGGCGGCTGGCGAATTAATCCAATTTATGTATAAAATTTGTGCAAGTTTGCAGTTGGAGCATTTTGCAGAGTGGTATCACACTCGTATGATGCCAAGAAAAACAACATAATTTAAATAAATATAAAAACTAATACTTTTTGGCAAAAGTCTGGAATCAGCTGATTTGACTCAAAACCTGTGAACATGGGAGCTCAAACGGTGATATTTATCTCGCAAATTTTATTTAAAAGACATTTCTGGCATTCTTCACTCCTGCATTTCGGGAGTGATGCTATTAAGTGGTCAAGTTTCTTCGGGCTAAAGAAATACGTGCAGTAAAGTTATCTACCAGGCTTTGCTGGTGTTTGCACCAGGCTCTGCTTTCGTGGCGTGATGGTGAGACTAAGAAAGATGGGGATGGGGACCATGCATTTGGCACTCAGCCGCCGATCATGACGCATTTTGTAAACAAACCAAACTTGATGCACGCAAGCGGCTGGAGTCGCTGGGGCTCTTGGGCTTGAAGGTATCTGGTGCCCTCGCTCTGTGCATACATAGACATGATTCAGATGTACTTGAGGTGGGACCTAGCCATAGGTGTCCAGGTTCTGTGGAGCCTTGTTTGTGCCTGATGGCTTCAAGTGAGCTCGATTTTAGATGACATATGAAAACCTCAGACAGGAAAATGTGGGTTTGGCGTGTGCGATTAGACAATATCAGGCAGGAGTGAAAAATTCACATGAAATATGGGGACAAGGAGTGCAAAATTCCTCCTTATAGAGTGTTGCTTTACACCCAAGGTTGGCAATTCTAGGACACTGATTTCCAGCTTACATGTATAATGTAGGGCTTCGTTAACGTGACAGCGTCAGCCCTCCGCGCGCGGTCCGCAGAATCGTCGCTTGCCGCTTGCCACCCCAGCTGGCCTTGGATCGTCTCGCGATGTTCGTAATAAAACATCACTACTCCGAAACCAGAATTGCGTGGGACACGTTTTTGGTGCTAACACACGCGCAATAGATGCCCCAGAGGCTACCAAAGATTTGAGCGAGAGTGCGCAATATGCTGGACTGGTATCCTCAGATATCCTTAGGGAGGGGGTTTCGCATCGTCCTCCCACCCCCCCTCCCCCCCCCCTCCCCTCCTGTCACAGCGACTATGTTGTTCAGAAAGAACTAGCAGCCTGATGTAAAGTTATTGTCAAATTTAAATACAATTTGCTTGTTGGAACACGGCGAAAGGCGCCCACCGGGTAATACATGCCGCGCCAGCCTAGGAGCATGCCTGAGGTATGGTGGATAGTTTGATGACCGTAGAAATGATGCTTGAAGCGCACATGTAATTTTCAAAAGGGGGTATGACCTCAAGGAGGTCTGCATATTGGACGCCATCCCCAGTGCTGCCTACTACCGGTTCGAACTCTGTCATGCATTTTCTGCTGCCCTGGCTATCAAGCTCTTTCGTTGTCGTTTTTTTCGTGGTCGAGGAAAGCAAAGCCAGCCGAGATCTGTGAGACCCCCAGCGTGCCGGTAGCGTAGTGGTTAACGTGTCTGCGTTAACCACTGTTACCACTGTTAACAGACGCGTTAACCACTGTTAACGCGTCTGCGTTAACCACTACACGCCTGGGAAACAAGAGGTGCGGGGTTCCATTTCCCGCGGTGCCCGCCCTTCCTGTCAGGGTGAGAGGTAGGCGACGCGATATAGACTCAGCAGCTGAGTGCCTCGTAAAGCCTCAATGACAACAACAAATGTGAGGCCCCGGCAAGTTCCGAGGGTGAACGAAGGCTGCTGCTGTGATTTGGCTATCCCAAAGTCTAGGGTGGGTGCGCCTGCTTTCCAAGCAACAGCAGTTGAAGGAGATGGTAAAAAGGAGCGTTAAGCTATGTGCATGATATTGAAAACTGTGGTGATGAAGGAGGCCATCGGTGATATGCTGATTCCTCCTGATGACGATGCTGGGCATAAGCTTCAGTACCTTTATATGTCATATGGCACCGCATCGCGCCGCTGGCGGCTATTTTGCCTCTAGAAATTTCGTCGGCGACAAAAAGTACGCTTTTACCACCCCTGCCTGCTCACGACGCGCGAATTCATTATCAACACACTCCCGCGGGCTTCTCGAATTGCCTGCAGTCCACGTCCGCACGTCCTCAGCGCGTCCGCCATCCAGGTCGGACCATCCACTGCGGCTGTCGGTAACAGAGTGCCCCGCCTGCCCGCGGACATAGTCGATAGCTCAATTGTCGGCCGAGATTCAATCGCGCCCTGGCATTGACCGGCAGCCGCGTGGTGCGGCAGGTGCGGCGTCACCGCCGCCAGCTCGCGCGGCGCCGGCGACACCTTGACCCTGACCTGGAGCGTCGCAGGGCCCGTCAGTCCGGACCCCAGGCCTTTCTAGAGCGGGGAGCGCTCGCGCAGTAGTGTAGGCATGCGCTGCCGAGGCGCCTGATTCGAAGCTCTGGTCGCTCGTGACAATAAGGGCGAACAGGGCCGGGTACAATGGCCAGGTATGTGGACGCCTTATGGTTCCGCATTGCGGACGACGCGGCCACCCGCCTGCAGCCTGCAGTGCTGCTGACACGTCGTCATCTCCCCCGATTACATCCGGTCGCGACCGTGACCGAGTGACCCAGACAGTGACAGGGGTCCGCCTCTCCCCCCCCCCCCCCACGACTGGGACGACACGGATAAGTGGCTGGCAGCACCGCGACACTCCCCACAGACGCCCTGCGGAGGATAGGAGAGGGGGAGGGGACGTGCCCCAAGGTGATCAATAAGTGTCTGGTGTCCCCGTTGGCGGGCTCTCCGCCGACACCGTCTGCTCCGGGAACACTTACTGATCACTGCTCCCCACTTACGCGGGCAAGGGAGATACGCCTACCCACCGCTGCTCTTCTCAGCGACAGAGTTCACCGCCAGGTCACCCTCCCCCACCGCCGTCACCGCCTCCCACCGCCGTCCACTGCGGCAGCCTTCGCTCACTTCTTCCTCGCCAGCTCTCCCAGACACCACCGTTTCTCGCGGTGACGCTCTGAAACGCCGCTGTTGTCACCTGATGACTTGGCCGCTTCCTACTGACCTTCTGGCGCCTCTCTGCCTAGGCCAAGGAGATCTGGGGTGCCGATGTGGACGTCGACAATCGACGCAGGCGTCAGCGCCGACGACGAGGACCTGAACGCCATGATGATGCAGGGCGTCAGCGACTCGGAGGTGGCGAAAACGGAGGAGACGGTCAGTGAGGCGGGGGAAGCGGCAGGGAGGGGAGGAGACATTCGGTGATGCGGAGCAGACGGCAGGGAGGAGAGAAGACGGTCGGTGAGGCGGGGCAGGCGGCAGGGAGGGGAGGAGGCAGTCGGTGAGGCGCGACAGGCGGCAGGGAGGAGAGGAGACAGTCGGTGAGGCGGGGCAGGCGACAGGGAGGGGAGGAGATCGTCAGTGATACAGTACAGGCGGCAGGGAGGGGAGCGCGGTCTGCGTGACTTGGCTGCCTGCCGCCGTGGCAGAGCTGCCGCGTGACCTAACCTGCCCCGAGGTTTGTGACGGTGCAGGGATCCCATCCCTCGGTCGATATCATGTTTTCCTGGCAAAGAGCATTTCCCAATGGGCATCAGAACGCCCCCGACAGGTAGTGCTTGCAGTTTAGGTGGTAGTGCGCCTCATAGATAATGTCCCTACCTTTAAACTCAGGTGAGAAGCAGCATCCGTCTGAGAAATAAATGATTGTGCAGCGCTGGATCTCGGCGCCCACTACCCATCGCTTCCACCGCTCTCTCGGATGAAGATAAATGTAACGCGTATGGATGGGCTATCGCGATGTTGGTTATAGGCGATAAACAAAGATGGAAGAGCAGACCTTGTTAGGCTCCCGATGGTTTAAGGTGTGTGTCAATGTCAAGCTCTAGTTGTTTCTCTCTTGGCAACGGTTGACCGGTTATTGCCGTCACCACTTGCGTTGCTGGTATGACGTGCTGCCTCAGTTTTACTTTTCTCCGCAAAAGCTGTCTGAGGTGGCCATAACCATGGCAGCCTGACCTGGAGTAAGAAGATTTGACTGACCTGGTACGCTCCCGACAGGCGAACGGACCAAGGGCCAAGACGCCACCACCGCTGACCGCGGAGGAGATGGCCCCGATGCCCTCCAACGAGGCCATCTTCGGCCTGTCTTACGAGCAGTTCAAAGGTGAGCACGACCGTTCTCTTGGCCGAGGTCCAATGCACATATCACCGATTGAAAGAGGGGGCGGGCAGGCGTATGGGGAGGGGCCTTTAGTTTAACAGGCACGTGAACATGAATAGGCATAGGCGAAAGGGAATTTTCTGGGGAGCAAAAGGAGAGATGGAAGAACAATACAGCAACGTGTGGGTAATAAGGTCAGAGCTGGTGCCATAGCCTGGTTGTGAATTTCCGATGACATGAGTGTGAGCGGAGGGAGCCTGTATATCACCAAAGCAATACAAAAGTACCTCCATAAGGACATTTGATAATAAAGTCACGCCAGTGCTCAAAAGAGTTTCATACGGTGGCAAATCCATCCGCAAAGGGCTGTTACGACCACAGTGGTGATTGCACCCTTAAGGGCCTTGGCTGATCCGTCGACATGGTGCCGCCGTACGACAGGGGATAAGGGCTGCGAGGCAACAATTGTTAACCATTTGTTCGCAACCAGGCTGTGACAATGTGTGACATAGTGAACGCTAGGCCTTGGTGCAGAGGCGTGAGCAAAAGTCGATCGCGAACCACCTGATCCAAACGTATTTTGCAGTCAGGGATCAGCGACCGCAATCTGATCCGAACGTATCCTGTAGTCAGGGATCAGCGACAGCAATGTGATCCGAACGCACCCCGTAGCCGGGGATCAGTGACCGCAATCTGATCCGAACGTACCCTGCAGTCAGGGATCAGCGACCGCAATTTGATCCGAACATACCCTGCAGTCAGGGATCAGCGACCGTAATGTGATCCGAACGTACCCGGCAGTCAGGGATCAGCGACTCCAATCCCACACACGTTGGAGAGTAATCAGATTTTGATGTCACGATCTTGTGACTCAATTTTCGCCCAATAACACTCGGACGACGACGTGTGTGCGAAGCGATCTTCAGTTCCCATCCCTAGGGAAGTGTTGATGCAGTGCAATGAGTCCCAAAGCGAGCGCAAAATTGCGTGTGATGGCATAGCTGTTGACGTTGCCTTCCGTTTCGAGCGATAAATGTCCGGGAAAATGCCAAAACAACACAGCGCCTTGGTCGTGTTCTTGGACAGTACTCGGTCGGAACCTAATATACTTGTAATGTTTCAAGTGCGTTCCTGAACAGGTAAAAGTCACCGGTAAAGGTCATTAGAGAAGAAAATAAACTTAACGTTATGCTCGTATTATACAATTAAAACAATAATGCATGATCGATGCACTTCGGGGTGTTTCTCCAGCATCACCCTCGAGATCAAGCTGTTTCTCCAGTATCACCCTCGAGGTCAAGCTTGATGCAGGGGAACGGCCATGTGCGAAGCACATCTGACGCTCAGTATTATGATCAATGGTACGCTTTTGGCATTGAATGGATTTTATGTTCTAATTTACGGACAAGACATTCGGACAAACTAAGGACAATCTACTTATCTTGCAACGACATTCAATAATTGGCATGCCACCGTTTTAATTGAGATAGTGACAGCCAATTATTGCATGTCATGGCACACAAAAAGGGAAGGCTAGCAGGACACGTCGATAAATAACGTGACAGCCTGTAGGCAAGCTCGCCGGAGCACCAAAGGTCATGACCTGCAGCCACCGGGCACGGTGCTCGCCTGTGACGGACGAGCTGCCAACTTCAACAGCCCCTGTGAGAGCGAGCCGCCAGACGTCTCTCCGTAGTGAGCGGCGTGAGCGCGCGCACTCCATCACCGCTACGGAGAACCGGCTGCGTCCGCGCACGGTCCGCGGCCACGCCTGACACGGCCGCCCGCCGCCAGCAATGGTCCCCAGTGGCCGGCGGCGGCGGCCGCGGCGCTGGGAGCCCGCGGAGTCCCGCTCCCGAACCCGCGCCACTGGCGCGCCGAGGCAGGTCCCGGGTGGATTCGACGCAGCGGGCCGCTGCTCGGGCCTGGGTGATGGAGCGTTGCTGTCGAGCCGGCTCGGCCAGCAATGCTCCGAGCTCGGCGGTCGGCGCGTGGGTCACGTGGTCGGAACTGGCACACAATCGGCTGCGGTCAGCCGGCGGCGGACGGAGGCCCCCGCCTGAGGTTATGGTCTCAGCCGGCGGCGGACGGAAGCCCCCGCACGAGGTTATGGTCTGCCGCGGTCAGCCGGCGGCGGACGGAAGCCCCCGCACGAGGTTATGGTCTGCCGCGGTCAGCCGGCGGCGGACGGAGGCCCCCGCCTGAGGTTATGGTCTCAGCCGGCGGCGGACGGAGGCCCCCGCCTGAGGTTATGGTCGGCTCGTGTGTCGCCGGCGGTGGACGGAGGCCCCTCGCCCGAGGTTATGGTCTGCCGCGGTCAGCCGGCGGCGGACGGAGGCCTCCGCCCGAGGTTATGGTCTGCCGCGGTCAGCCGGCGGTGGACGGAAGCCCTTGCCCGGGGTTATGGTCTGCCGCGGTCAGCCGGCGGCGGACGGAGGCCCCGCCCCAGGTTATAGTCGGCTCGTGTGCCGCCGCCTTGTTGACCGGCGACCCCACACCGCACCCTGCGCCGGCACGCCACCGCGTGCATCGGCTCGGAAACCGCCGGACAGCCGCCGCCTCCGTGTCCTGCGACAGGGAGACCACGTGGCGGATGGTCCGCTCGTCAGATCAGAGGAGTGATCACAGCGTGATGGCTTGTTTTGTCAGTCACGCGTCACTGACAAGGCATATCTTGCAAATTGCAGTGAACTGGTAGCCTTGAGTGATGATGAGTTAGTGGTCATAGTGTAGTGATGATCTAATCGCGCATGTTAATGATGCGATATATGAAATGCTGACTAGAATATATCAGCTTTGCATTTTAAAATGAACATGATTTAAGGATAATGCAGTAATACAGCTGAAGAATTATGTGAATTACGTAACGTCAGAGATATGAGCCCAGCGTCACCCTTGGACTTTGTATTGTCACCAGTTAGCCGACTTCCATCGAAGTGAAAATTTCCAGTCATCACCCGTTCATCTTCAGAGTTACAGAAGCAGGGTCGCAAGAGTTGCAGAGAACGAAGAGCAATGAGTTCGTTACCTTGGCATTCGGCGGTGTGATACAATGGCGAGCTCATCAAAGTGGTCCCAACTCGCCTTTTTTCCTCTCAAGATTATAGTGACTGAGTAAGCGGCCAACTGGGCCGCCTGTGGTTTCGTTCCCAGACGGCCTCATTCCGGAGACATACCGCATCTCCATAGCGCGGGCGCTCGAGCTGCAGCCGGTGGAGGGTTGTTGGTGATCTCCTCTCCAAGCTGGTGGACAGGGCGTACCTCTAAAGCAGCGCAGGCGCTCGAGCTGCGCCCGGTGGAGGGTTCTTGGTAATCTCCTCTCCAAGCTGGTGGACAGGGCGCACCTCCTCCTCTCCAAGCTGGTGGACAGGGCGTACCTCTACAGCGCAACGGGTGCTCGAGGTCCGGCCGATGAAGGGCTCCTAGCACTCCCCTCTCCAAGCTGGTGTGCAGAGCACATCTCTATAGCGCGGCGGGCGCTCGAGCTCCGGCGAATGGTGGGTTCCTGGTAATTCCCTCTCCAAGCTGGTGGACAGAGCGCACCTCCTCCTCTCCAAGCTGGTGGACGGAGCGCACCTCTACCGTGCGGCGGGCGCTCGAGCTCCAGCGAATGGCGGATTCCTGGTAATCCCCTCTCCAAGCTGGTGTCGCCGGCTGCGGGCTGGCCAATTGAGCGAGAGCCGCGTTGAATTATGCATAGGCATCAGGAAAGGAGCTTAGTGGGTCGGATCAATAGCCACACCTCTCAGCACGCCGGGACGGGGATGTGGAGCGCCCTTCAACGGTAAATGTAAGCCCATTCACAATCAGGGTAAGCCCATTCATTGATAACGTACCCCAGCGGAGCAACTTCGCCAGGGCATATCGTTTTCCTCGCCGAGGTGCGTACGGTTAGAAAGTATGATTCACCAAAGTGGCGTAGAGCAAAACAACACAGGTGCAGGGTATCACTGTGTGCATCGTTCAGCATTGGTCCCTTTTGGAATAAAGATACGACCGATGCTCCTGAAACACTGCCGCTAAGAAAAGAAAGCAGCTCGGCAAGATTGCGCCATATTTCAGCTACTCTTCCTTGCACAAGCGAGCCAGCAGCCCCAGTTACACCCGGTTGTGGTTGCTCCCAGCGCAGAGCAGGCCTTTGCGCGAACCGGGGGCCGATCCTGGGGAGGGGTGGATCAGGCGGCGACTGGATGGTTGCCGGACCGCACCCGGCCTCCGAAGAGGTCCCGGGGGCAGGGCCCCGAGGGATGGCCGCAGGCTGTGGGGGACAGCTCGGCGGCGGCCGTCAGGCAGTGTCAGGCCTCCGGAGAGGTCTCGGGGGTCGGGTCTCCGAGGGATGGCCGCAGGCTGTGGGGACAGCTCGGCGGCGGCCGTCAGGCAGTGTCAGGCCTCCGGAGAGGTCCCGACCGGTCAGCTAGTGTCAGGCGGATGGCAGAGCCTGTCGCCGCAGCCTCGCCGCGGCAGTAGCATTTCGGCGCGTATGTGAAGAGCCGTGGGGACAGGAGAGGATCTGCGGGGATGAGCTCAAACACAGGGACGCCTCGCCCGACTGGCGAAGTGGCAGGCAAGGCAGGGAGGAGAGGAAAGGAGAGTAGAACTGACGCGCAAGGAGAACAGGAGGAAAGAGAGGGAGAGAGAGGTAGAGAGAGAGAGAGAGAGAGAGAGAGAGAGAGAGAGAGAGAGAGAGAGAGAGAGAGAGAGAGAGAGAGAGAGAGAGAGAGAGAGAGAGAGAGAGAGAGAGAGAGAGAGAGAGAGAGAGAGAGAGAGAGAGAGAGAGAGAGAGAGAGAGAGAGAGAGAGAGAGAGAGAGAGAGAGAGAGAGAGAGAGAGAGAGAGAGAGAGAGAGAGAGAGAGAGAGAGAGAGAGAGAGAGAGAGAGAGAGAGAGAGAGAGAGAGAGAGAGAGAGAAAGAGAAATGTCACGCGCAAACGCACACATTTCCTAACGAGTCACGAAGGAATATGTGGAGCGGGTCGAAATCTTAGTAGTGTTTTGCAACAAACTATGCATCACTGTGTGCGTGTGTGTCCGTTCCCAGCACTAGCTGACTGATCTGAATCCGCATTCGCAGAGGACCTGGACAACATGCGCGAACAGCACGAGACGGAAGTAGATCACTTCATGCGCGGCCAGGAACGACAGGCAGACAAAATCCGTGGAGACCTGGAGGTAAGGGCACGGCGCCTCCAAGACAATCTCGAATGTGTGTCTATCTAACCTTGTTAGGTTCTGTCTACGCCTCAATCTCGCAACAGCGGAAAGCGACACGCACCCGGCCGTCCGGAGCCGGCTGGTTAACCGCCTGCGGGCACGCGAACCGCGCGCTCCGCTGGTCGATAATGGGGCACCGTAGCCCGTGGAGCCGCTGGGAGCACCCCCCCTCCCCCCTCCCCCCCCCGGCCGTATCGCGCCCCCGGCGTGGTCGGCGCCCAATGTGACGGCCTTATCCATGTAGGCTGGCTTGCCGGCTGTGTGAAATGGTCCCGGTATTAGTAAAACAAAACAACGCTTGGAAACAAGACGAGATTTTCCAAAGCGATTTGGTGGATCCTACGCTAGCTAATTCTGGGCATGTTGAGATGATTGTTCCCGTTCGTTGCTGGGGGCTTATGTTCTAATCAGACATTATTGATAGCTGGGACATTTAAAAAACATCAAGTGCCACCCCCCTTCTGAACATGTGCAGTATTATTTAAGGTGCCGCAAAACGTCACATCTTGCGAAATGGCTATCATTAAAAGACAGCCTAGTGATTGCTACGTCCGAGTCATTGCAAGTACCATAATCCCTGATCGGGTGCGCAATGGTGTATTTAGCAACAACGATCAGCTGGCGGCGGTCGGCTGTCACAGCCGCATGGTCGGCTGTCACAGCCGCTCGGTCGGCTGTCACCGCCGCTCGGTCGGCTATCAACGCCGCTCGGTCGGCTGTCACAGCCGCACGGTCGGCTGTCACAGCCGCACGGTCGGCTGTCACAGCCGCACGGTCGGCTGTCACAGCCGCACGGTCGGCTGTCACAGCCGCACGGTCGGCTGTCACAGCCGCACGGTCGGCTGTCACAGCTGCACGGTCGGCTGTCACAGCCGCACGGTCGGCTGTCACAGCCGCACGGTCGGCTGTCACAGCTGCACGGTCGGCTGTCACAGCCGCACGGTCGGCTGTCACAGCTGCACGGTCGGCTGTCACAGCCGCACGGTCGGCTGTCACAGCCGCACGGTCGGCTGTCACAGCCGCGCGGTCGGCTGTCACAGCCGCACGGTCGCTGCTCCTGACGCCTCACCCTCAGCGGCCCCTGTGGCCACCAGCTCTGTCACGGCCGCGCACCAGTCCATGTTTGCGCATCCTCACGTCGCCTGTTTGTAGGCGAAGCTGAACGCCCGCCGGCGAAACCGCGCCATGCGCAACCTGGAGGAGCGCCAGAAGCGGGAGCTGGCCGCCGGCGCCGCCGTCAGCTAGGCTTGACGTCAGCGCGGCGGTCGGCCAATCAGCGACGGCGACCGTCTGACGTCAGTGACCCGCCGTCACCCGGGCACGTCGCGACAGCGGACGAGTGACGCCACGGGCTGGAGGACGGGCTTGAGGTGCAGCCCCGCTGGGAGTGCCTGTGTCTCGGAGTGACAACCACGAGCAGGGACTAAGCCGGCGCGGATCGCCTCGTCCTGGCTGGTCCGCTGTGGGCGTTCGAGCAGCAGCTGGTCTTCGATCTGCTTTCTCGGTAGCACTGGACGCTTAGAAAGCATGTTATTGGATATGTTTATCACCAATCACGGACCACTACTGGCGCAGCTGTAACATGAACAGTGTCCATCTCATCATTTGCGGCTTATTTTCGAAAATAATCTGGTATCAGCTGAGAAGAAGACGAAAAAGAAGAAGAAGAAAAGTGTTGTTTTCCGGTGTGTTGCCCTGATTTGGGCGCCTAGAAATTAGAATACTAAGTTTTGCCTTTGCTTTAGAAGGTCTATTTTATTAACACTAATTGACTATGAGCAATCAGGTTTTTCACTATATTAGTTATTTCAAAAGAGGACCCAGCCGGTCTTCAGGGGTCTCCAAATAATAAAACCGACAAAATGAAAGATGCTGCCGCATATTCAGGGACAGCGGTTGTTTCAAAGCATATGCTTCCTGGCAGTTCTCAGAATTGCATGATTAGGCGTTTTTACACTTTGGTTCAGCATTTCTTTCCGAGGTGATAGCCACCCTCAACTGAACATCCTTAACATGGTATTAAAAAACTTCTCCGCCAAGGGGTACGTGACCAGTAAAAACACATGAAATTGTTTGTTGGAACTCCAAAGTCTCGTATCACAGCAACTGAGCAATGGAGGCGGTGTTTCCCTTGTTTTAATGGACCCCACGTCACGTAAGTGCAAAAACTGCGCATAAGTAGAACTCGCTTGCTGTAGAGTTGAACTAAGTCACATATAGGTTTTACATACCGCTCCTGGTTTTCGCGCACAATAGTCACAATGTCCGTGGAAACTGTGGGTGCTTCGTGCTGACAGATACAGAGGAGAATCCCATAAAATGTTGATATTGCAAAATAATATGCACACAATAAATCGGATCAACCACTGCATGCAGAGATCGAAATGCTTTCCTTTACAATGTAATTCATCATACAACATCATTAAGCTATTCAAATACCACGAAAAAGCACAAGGGCTTTTCTACCCACGCTGACAAAGTAAACGCCGCTGTAAGCATGGGTAGATCACATGCTCACAAACTCAATCTGTACCAACCTTTCAAAAATGTATTTGCACGCATGCACGCACAAGGCACGATATGTTCACTTCATCTAAAAAAACGTTGATAAAAATACTGTATATGCTACCCAACTCGTCAGGGCCTGTGATATAGTGTACATACTGGGCAGCTTGAGTCCTTCGCCTCTTACGATGTCGTACGTGCCTTGGATATTGCCAAACGTGCACTAGTTTACTTACTTAAAGAGTAAGTGCACTTAAAGAGAGTATTGCACCAGTTCCTTACCACCATGTTACCTACCGAATGAGTGCCGTTTCTTGTCATGTGCGTACTTTCTCACCTTGTGACATCGGAAGCCCGCTCGATTTCTCCTGCGAAGGCAGCAGCTTCAGACGAAGGGTCCACTATGGAACTGCGCCAGACGGATACAGAGACATACCCGAGACGGATACATTAAGTCTTTCGGCTGCCTTCTCCCTGTCCTTCTGATGAGCCTTCGCGGGATCAGCGCCTTCTGAGAGCTCGTGCGCAGCTGACCGTCATGTGCCTCTCAGAAGGGAGCTGCCGGCGCCTGTCGTGGTGGTTGCGTGATCGTGTGGGCCCGCCGCGTGTCACCGGTCCCTTGTTATCACGGGCGGACAACAGCGACGTCCACTACCATAGGTTCCTACGTCCAGAAATGCACCTGCTTGCTCACGAGAGCAGCACGACCCGTACGAACGCAAACGAATGCGTTTTATCAGCTGCACGGGAGCTGAAAGCCGCTAGCCGCGGCGCAGCGCCTGTCCCACGGCTCGTGCCAGAGCCGGGCGCACGTGTGCCTCAATCAGTGAGCGCGCCGGTCCGGTCCGGAAGTACAGCGACACTGCCGGGTCGTCTGCTCTCACTTCTTTTCAGGTCCGCACCGGTGGAGCCTGTCTGTAATCGTAGCATTAGATCTCGTGGAAATACATTGTTGATTTTGGGAGGCCGTGTTTAAGACCCGGGTTACAAGTGCGATCACTGGGACAGACGTCGTGATGCGTGCTGGTCCAGATGGAGCGTCTGGCCCAACGACCTCTCCGTTCGTACGTTGGTTTGTTTGCATCATTGCCATTACAAGCACTTTCATTGTAATTTCTCATAGATAAGACGGTAGTAATAATCTTATTCCTCGGAGAAAAACCAGGAGAATGGAGACATAGATGGGCTTATGTTTCGGCAACATGCCTTTATCGAAGCAATAGGAGAAGTGATGATGACTTCATCACTTCTGGCATTGTTTGATGACTTTCATAAGATGACTTCTGCTATTTTTACGATCGAGGCATGTTGCCGAAATATCAACCCACCTATATCTCCGCTCTCCTGGTTTTTCTACCAGAAATAAGGCCATTACTATTGTCTCATCTATGTGTATAATGTTCCTCGCTAATGCACTGGACAACTGACGCAATTGCAATTCCTCGTTGAATCTTCTCCTGAAGACTCCGTCTCAATGCTACCCATTGGTGTTCCGTTTCTAGGCTCCTCGGCTGTTCTGCAGGCGCCGTGTTCTTGTGCAGCGTAGCATCACACGGTGGTCGTGTTTTCGTTCATGCACGATAGCGTCAGGATTCCCGGATGCGAGAGGTCATCCTCCAGATTATGTCAGGTCGTGCAGCTAAAATGAGGGACTTTGATGATCTCCAACACGTCGAACACCGTTTTGACGCCGTGCAAATGCATGTAGCGCCCGGGCCGGTGGGTTGGCTATCATACCCTGCAGTTCCGAGCCGATAGGAGCGAATTCCATCAACTTCCTCACTGCGACGGAGCATGTGTAGCATCCACCAAAGCTGCGATAGTTCGATGCGACTCTTGCTTGTAGTGTTGAGCGAACTGTATACGGACGAGGAAGGTGCAGCGGGGCAGAGTCTGCGACCGAGGGAGGAGTAGGAGCGTCAAGTGCCACATAGGTAGCGAAAAGGTGAAAGAAAAACAGCGTGAGGGAACGGCAGGGTGCTTGGGCCCGTGGTGAAGACAGACTCAGTGCTGCTGCAGACAAGCCTCAAACCAATTGCCTGCAGCTAAACGTAGGACGAGACCCGTTGTGGACCACATAAGGGGTCCTCTGTTGTGCACCTCACCTCAGGCCAGTATGCCAAATAGGAGGTGACCTGTGAGGGCTATGGAGTTGCCAACATAGATTTGGTTTTGGCGGCTTTGGCCGTGCTTACAGATTGTTTAGAATCACTTCGTGACCGAAACCACGCCGTTTGTCGCACAGCCATCATTAAATCCTTAGCTTTTTCGCTCCATGGCGCATCGCATTTTTTTCAAAGAAAGCCACGATGGTTTGTATATATCTTTAAGGTAGTGTGGGGAAGACGCTGCCTGATGTAAGACTCACGAACGTCGCTCCGTAGCCATTCGACCTCACGTTCTTAGCAACGTGCTTCTCAGAACAAGTCATTCTCCGCTGCTCCGAGCATTGAAACACCAATCGCAGCCTACACACGGGATTCGCTGTGCGAGCTCTGTTGTCCGGGTGGCAGTTTGTCTTCGGCTTTCGCATTTCCGACCAGGCGCCGACCGTGTGTGAGGCGCCGGCCGTGCTGGAGCCGGCACGCGGCGAGGCCGTTGGAGCGTTCCCTCCCCACCGAGCGTCGACGTTAACACCAGGGGTCACGGAACCCCGCCCCAGGCGGCCTCGGCCGAGCGGTCTGCTGAACGTGGTCAGTCAGCCTGTGAACCTGCAGCTGGAGAGGTCACTCCCCGGAAGTCTGTGTGGCACGACAGTGGCCGCAATCTATAGGGACACGTGCCCCTGTGACCGCCATCGCAGAACTCCCCAATCGCCGGAAGCATTTCCGTATCGTTTTTCCACCGCACGCTAAAATGTCATCATCCATCACATTGCCTTCACCACACGGCTGACGCGGTCAATGCGATCGCCCAATCACATTATCAGCCGTTGCCGTCAGCGCCCATGGCGCCGCTGGTCCCGCGAACACGCCCACCCGCCCACCGCCCCGCCGGCGCGCGTCGGCTGCTCACGACACGCCCGCGCCCGCGCCTGCGTACGCCGGGCCGGCGTGGGCGCCCCGCCCGGTCCGGGCGGCATCGGGATTCACGCGGCGCTGCCCCGGGCCAGGCGGTGGCGTCAGCACGCGCCACGCGACACTGAAGCCGAATCGATGGCGCGCGGACGACGGCGCCGGTCGTGTCGGCGGCACACCCGCACGGCCGTCGGCGTCGACGGCACGGGACGGCGAGTGGGACGCAGTGGGGCTGGAATAGGGCGGGGTGAGCAGGATGCAGTGGGACACGCTGGAGCCGGGCTAGTGCGTGGCAGAACCCAAACAGAAGGCGGTCAGAACAAAACAGAACGGAACACGCAATGACGTCACGAACAGGATAGGACCACAGAAGGGCCCAAGCAGATGAAAGCAACGAACGTGGACGCAGATGAGACACGGCAGTGCAAATAAGAACAACAGGTTATGACAGAACGTAGGACCCGGAGGAAGCACAGCAGCGTGGGGCACGGAATGACATCACTGGTGCTCACATGACAGCATGGAACGCGGACACTACCCACGAGACAGAGTCACAGGAGACGAACACGCTCGGCCAGCTGCGCAGGGACGGGAGCCACCGGGGCGCCAACTAGAGGCAGGCGGGGGTGGCGACTGGGGTTCCTCTGATGTTACTAGCCTTGACACGGATGCATTCTAGGAACGCAAACAGCATGCTAGTCAACGCCCACTCCCTCTCAGAGTTGTTCGACATGAACGCATGTGACCGTTAGAGGTGGATACGACTTTGTATTGGATCTGGTTAGTCTGTACAACAGTACGGTGTTGGCAATCGCAGAACCTGCTGTTTTTTATGTTCGTGGCATTATCCAAGTCAGGGCTGCGTATACAAGAGCATGGAAAATTTTCCGCCCATTTTGTGTGACTTTTCGGAACACTGATTGCAGACCAAACATTGGTGTTTCATTTTTTTTAAAATGCGTAGACGAAACGTGATGCTTCCAAATAAGGGCATTGGATCTTATTGGGTTTAATACCCAAATTTTCCACTCCACGCTGAGAACAACGCGGAATGCATACGCAACATTTATCCTAGGCTATAATTCAAGGTGCTGGCGGCGGCGATACCATGACAGCCGACACTCACGAGTCGTCTCTCCTTATCTCCGCTTCCCCAACCTGAAATGTTCTGTGTTCAACACATCTTCACCTCGCTTCGTCCTTGTTTCCGTCCCAGATCCCGTCTCCCGTCAATGTCGTGCACACGTTCCCTACGATTGGTACTGCTGCGACCAGTGGCTGTGAAGGCGGAGGTCGCAAATGGTGTAAGCAGGAGTGTTCTTGAGACAGAGCCTGTAGCAGAGCCAGAGCCTGCCGAGTCTAAACAAACTTATCGGTGTTAAAGAATGTACGTTACGTACTGCAGTTGACGTTATTTTCATCCAATTTGTACCAAAACAGAGCGCGTTACGAGCACGCGACTACGTGCCTAATAAAAAGTACATCATTCAGAGCTCCACTTATCAGTGAAGATCCGTGTTAGTGCTGAAATTACTGGCCGATGATATAAGAGTAATATGTACTGTGTGTTATTTTGTCCAAGGTTACATCAAGAGCTGTGCGCATCACGACTTAACATCTACGTATTGAATGAAATAAGCCCGTTATTCGTGATCCTAATGCTCTGAAGGGCTTGGGTTAGTCACGCACTTTTTAAGAAACGAAAGGTACGTTTTACGGCAGATTTACACATAGGCATAGAACGTTTCAAAAAGTGTGGAGGGGGGGGGGCAAGCTCAGGGTGGACTTCAGGAACTTTTTCTGGACAGCGAGCCCGATGACCGGGGGGAGGGTAGGGATGGAGGTTGTTATCGCTCTTTATTCAAAGGTCGTGGCTGCTGTGCTAAATATGTATGTAGAGCTGTTTCTCACTGGTGCAAAATCCTGCCTGTTCGACTCATCTGTCATTTGGCAAATAGGGCTATCCAGCTTCCCTAGATTATTCGTCCATATTAACTTTGTCTCCGAGGCGAAATTCCACGAACGGGTAGGCATTTTGGGTCATTGATGAAGCACCTATCCCCACAGCGTAGATGCCAAAATACGGCCTGGATATGGGCTGGTGAGAATTTTTAAAGTGGATCGACGGCTCACAGTGTGACAGATTTTTCATGCGCCTTCATTTCGCTGGCTGCTTTTCAAGGGATAAGACTCGTCGCAGAATTTTAGGCGGAAACAAATTGGAGAGCTCGAAACTGCTAGAACCAATGTGACAAATGTCATAAAACTGGAGATTCTATTTTAAGAATCAAACCACATAATAAGGTTCACCTGCCATATGTCCCTTATCTGGGTCCTGCTCCTTTCCGCCGTCGGTGGCCAATGCCCTGGCCCGGGATGTCTTCGGCATGAATGACTGCAAACTGATCGTATGGCTGCTTTGTTGCATACTTTTAGATAAGCCTTACTACTACATGGTGCATGAAACATTTCTTGGACACCTACAACAGCATCTTTTCCGATGGCCTAACGGACACTTACTTGCCCATCATGCAACGCATACAACTTGATCTGCTTTTGTGCCAGCAGGGGCGTAGCCAGAGCCTTGCCAAGGTGGAACACAAGGTTGGCGAAAGCCCATCTTATGGTGATCCCCAAAATCCCCAGATACATTACACGTGACACGGTTTTCATTGTTATTTGTACCTTGTAACCAGAACAGAAACCAGGAGCTGCCGTGAGCTCCATTCTGTGTGTATTTCGAGGTCAATAAACTGTAGAAATCAGGCGTCAAACGACTGCATGAAAGAAATCACTAGCGCTTTTGATTTACAATGGTTAGTTGACTCTTTCAAAACCGATAGAATTCAGATGCTTTGTCAAAATTTTTATCCGCGTTTTACAGACATTGAGGATGTCGCGAAGGTAGATTGTATATCGATATGTTTGATCCAAGTTTGGAGATGAAAATTTGATCGCAGATCGAGTGGTCAACAATGTGTATTAACATCGCCAACTTGGCCATGACGACGACGACGACGACATTACCGTTTTCGGTCAAGGGCCGGAGGGCCATTCCGTCCCATCGCGAAATGTCTTCTAGCTATCATTCTGGTGGCACGGGGCGGGATCTCCTGGTCGATCCGGAGGCCATAAAAGGATATATAATATCACACTGTTCCCATCCCTGACACGGGAGGCCTTCTGGCCCACGCAGTTAGCCCCGGATCAGTACAGGAACCTCCATTTACGCAACAACATCCCTGATCACCGCAGTTAGTCCGATAGTTGTCACATAGACTCCAGTTCCGTGTTTTTCTGTGTTCTTCAGAGATATTGAGTTATCCTTGACTGTAGATTGTTCATGAAATGGGGTTCCTAATTTGTATTAACATGGCTAACCCATGTTCGTCTTGAAATGCTCAAGATCCTGTCAGAGCTGGTTACTGATAAGACAACTTCGTAATATGGTATTGGACACGCGCGCTCGCAAGTCATAGCAATAACGGCATCGACGCTCGGTGTTGTAGTCTCCAGGGCGTGCGGCGTTGACCTCGCGGCTGTAACATTAGGCGATGGCCGATGAACAAACGAAAAAGATGACGCATCTTAAGGGAGATAGCTGGTGAACTAGGTAAATCGATATGCATGTTTCACGTAGTGCAAAAGTAAGCCAAATGCAGCCTTAATCTGAGAAGTGGTGGCCAGTTAACATTGCTGGTCCCCCACCTTGAAAAGTGTGGGGGCCATGGCCCCCTTGGCCCCCCTGTTCCCACGTCCATGGATCTATATCAATAGCTTTGCGCACCGCACATAAATTGTTACGTTCACGACTTGCAAAGTCCGTCTTTTTGACACTAATTTTACGTAAAGACTCGTGCACGTCACGATTTTGCCTAATAAATGGCATAGATATTTGCATGTATGACTTCATTATGGTTCGTTTACACCACGTCCATTCCTGGCTTACATTCCTCGCCTCCTCCCTTAAAATGATGACTTGCTCATGAGCCTATTGTGTTAAAATATAATCCGCAATCACGCAACTCAGCACACGGAGCATATCTACATGTACGCGATGCGACTCCTCCCAGAGATAGTCCTTATGACATAACCTCACGTGTAATGTGATCTGCCCGGTGCGTAACCCGACCTCCAGCCCCGTCGCGCGCAATTACCCCCACCCGGCACGTGGCATGTCCATCCTGTCTGGCGAGTCACCTTTAAACTGGCAGTTACCGGCCAAGTTTCCGCACCTAGCCGGCGTCTGACAAATGCAGCAAAGAGGGAGAAGAGAGATGGAGACATGGTCGAGGAGGGATGGAAACAAAGGGCGCACTGCGGTGCCTCAGCTCTTCGTCGCAGCTCCTCCACTCCGATGCTGGTGGCTGCTGTGGTGGAGCACAGAGCGCGACCGCCCACTGAGAGCTCTCCCAGTCCGAGTGCTGCTCTCCGCTGAGTCCGCGCTGGTTCCGTGAGTCGTCGTCCTCCCGCTGTCCCTCTGAATGTGACGCTCTAGCCGGTTTTGTTCTGCAAGTCCTTCGTTCCATGCTCCTGCCATGAGCTAGATTCCCTGCCATTCGTGTTCATGTTCAGGTCAATTTTGCATGGGCTCTGTTGGCCCGGGACAGGCACGGGCCTCAAACAGCGAGCGCCGGTATGCCCCGTATGGTGCCTGGCCCCGAGGTTTTAGTGTTATGGGGTTTTGCTGCGCATTGATTGGCTGGGGCTCCAGCTCGAGCTCGGGCCTCGCGCTTCCCCGCGGGCGGGTGGTTACATCAGCTGGCTCAGGCTCGGACGCCGAACCCGCCCGCGGGCGGGTGGTTACATCGGCTGGCTCAGGCTCGGACGCCGAACCTGCCCGTGGGGCGGGTGGTTACATCAGCTGGCTCAGGTTCGGACACCGAACCTACCCACGGGCGGGTGGTTACATCAGCTGGCTCAGGCTCGGACGCCGAACCCGCCCGCGGGCGGGTGGTTACATCGGCTGGCTCAGGCTCGGACGCCGAACCTATTTACGGGCGGGTGGTTACATCAGCTGGCTCAGGCTCGGACGCCGAACCTATTTACGGGCGGGTGGTTACATCAGCTGGCTCAGGCTCGGACGCCGAACCTGCCCGTGGGGCGGGTGGTTACATCAGCTGGCTCAGGCTCGGACGCCGAACCTACCCACGGGCGGGTGGTTACATCGGCTGGCTCAGGCTCGGACGCCGAACCTATTTACGGGCGGGTGGTTACATCAGCTGGCTCAGGCTCGGACGCCGAACCTTCCCACGGGCGGGTGGTTACATCAGCTGGCTCAGTCTCGGACGCCGAACCTGCCCGTGGGGCGGGTGGTTACATCAGCTGGCTCAGGCTCGGACGCCGAACCTATTTACGGGCGGGTGGTTACATCAGCTGGCTCAGGCTCGGACGCCGAACCTACCCACGGGCGGGTGGTTACATCAGCTGGATCGGCTCTGGTCTGCTGCTCGGCTCTGCACGGGTCCTTTTTGGTCGTTCGCTGGCGGTCTGTCGACCCCGGTGCGGCGGACACGCGAGCGGCGAGGAACACGACTCCGCCGAATGCTCCGCTGCCCGGCTGCCTCCTGCTCCCACGCTTTTAGCACTTACGTCATGAAGCGTAGCCATCCCGGGCCACATGCTGCCTTCCCGCCGGGACGTCTCGTCCCGATGATCCTGCTGTCGACCGGATCCGCGGCTGCCCTTCCGGCGCGGCCTGTGCGCTAAGACGCCTCGCCCGGCCGGCTGACCCGTCGCTGGATACCTGGCTTACATAAAGCGATCCGGCTGCTATGCAAAGAAGGAAGCAAATGCGACGGGAGCGGAGGGATGCAGTAGAAACGAAACTGACAAGACAAAAGATCGGATATACGCGGTATTTATTAGTCAGATGTAAGCTCCGCCTCACAACATTGTGACTTATGTATTTGGCCCTTGGCGTATGAGCAGGGCCTTCAAGACCCCCATTGAGATTTTGGGGAATACTTTGATGAGACCTTTCCAATGCCGTTTTCCGCGAGGCTCTAGACTCCTTAGTTTTCGAGATCGTGCGTGATCTCCGACTGTTGAGGCCTTTCCCTCGTAGGACGAAGGTGAACAAAACTCCCGTAGGACGAGGATTGTTTAAAGAAGTTTAAAATCGCCGCTGATAAAAAACATTCAAGACAAAAATTCCACGCTAGTGAAACATTAACGTAAAGCACAAAAATATAGAAAAATATATGAAAAAACAGCTTTGAATAAAACATTCCAAACAAATGCAATGCTGTGGACAATTTGCAATGAAGCAAGAAGCCTTGAAATTCCCGCGCATGGGAAGGATGAGGAGTCAGGGATGTCGGAATGTCACCCAACCCGGCGATAAAAGGTCGCACAGCACATACTCCGATCGACTGTCCCGCAATACTCCCGTGCATTGCGGATTAGCGTGGCTCGCACGCTGCGCAGCGTTGCCGGACGCCCTCATCCGCTGATGGTTTGCCGACACCGGTCCACTTTGGGGCCGCGAATAAAGCCGATACAGTCATCGATTCGCCCAACGTTGGTCGCGTAAACCAGAGCTCGCTGGCAATGCAGTCAAAATGACCGTTTGCCGCCAGCAAATCTACATCTACCACGCCATCGGAGCGTAGTACTATTTGACGGTTGATAGCTGCAGCGAGGTGACGCCATCCGAGGTGGAGGTGCCCGCAGTTGCGCCCCACGCCGCTGCTGTGTTAGACACGGACTTGTGTCGCCCTCCTGCTGAGTACCCTCGTCCTGGACATGTTCAAAGAACGCAGTCCTCCAAGCGTGTATTTGCATGAGTACGGATATAGTATGCATCAGGCACCACCGACGAAAGCACGCAAGATCACCCGTCACTTCAATAGCCCTAACCAATGGAACAACAAATAAATCAACAGGTCTCTGGCCTTCGCATATTTTGACAACTTGTCTCTATAAGTACCGCCGTGGACCAAAACTCGGCCACCACCATCGCCACGGCGCAAAACTACCAAGCACAACTGGATCGTTTGATTTATCAGCCGCATGCCCGTCTATTTGGCGGTATTCTGGGTTGGCAACGGACGCCAGCGGGCCGGCTGCAGATCGGCGACGTCATCAGATCTGTCAGCTGGTCCTCTTCAGCCACCGAGCCATGCCGAAGAGCGGCGGCGAGCTGCGGCGGCCACCGGTGGCCGCCGGCAGTGCCAGAGTCGCACCGGCGCCGCGCGCAGGCGCAGGTGCTCGTCCGAGCAGAGCGGGCAGAAGCAGCTATCCGGCAGCGCACGGGAGCCGGTAGGCCGACCGGTCAGCGGGGGGGGGGGGGGGGGCGGGAGACAGCGGTGGACTTCTCGTCCGTCGCCGGCGGAGTCGGAGCATGAGAGGTCACATCAGCGCCGCGGACGTGACGTCCCGCAAATGTCCAGGCATCCAGCTGTCGCGCATATCATTCTACACAAAGCGCAACCACAGTCGGGACGGAGTTAGTAACGCCGGGACACGTGGAGCTCTCGAGGCCCCGCGAAGCAGCAGTCGACTGAAGAAAGAGCACTACCCACCACCAGAGCGACACACAGTGAGTCCGTATAACGCAGGGCGCCAGCGCAGCCGGAAGAGCCGCGGCCGGCGAGCCGTCCCGGAGCGCCCGGTCCGGCCGGCGCGGCGGCCGCTGCCGGGGCGCCTCTACGAGTCGAACCGGTCCTCAGGCTCCAAGTCGAACCAGCGCGTCACTCCCGAGGTCAGGTCCATCTCGCTCATGTCGATGTGCAGCTGAAACAGGTTGGGCGGCGCTGCTCAAGGGGCGGGCGGCGGGAATGAGGCGGCACAGAGCGGGCTCGCGGCCAACCGCCGACAGACGACCGCTGTCGGGACGACGGCCGGCTGGTCTCGACACGACCAGGTACACCTGGCCGGCAGCATGCACGAAAGAGAATCGACGACGCTTGCCTTCGAGCCGAGCCGCAACAGCAAGCAGCAGCCCAGCCCGGCGCCCTGTACCACACACCGCACACTGCAGCTGACTCACCATTCCCAGCGTGGGGTTGCGGGCGAATGTCTTCTTGCTGACCACCATGACCTCCAGACGGCGGATCCTCATCTCGTTCAGCCGACCGGAGTACTCCAGCGTCTCGTCGTACACCGGGTCACACTGGTCCTTCAGCATCTGGGACACGGCAGGCGTGCTCACTGTTCACTGGCCCGGGCACACACCTGGGGCTCCCGGGGTTGGCGGCGGGTGAAGAGAACACTTACACGGCACACGCTCCGAACAAGACAGCCACCAGCCGCGAACGCTGGCCTGGGCACACACCAGGGGTTCCCGGGGTTAGCGGCGGGTGAACAGAACACTGACACGGCACGCGCTCCGAAAAAGACAGCCACCAGCCGCGGTCACTGGCCCGGGCACACACCAGGGGCTCCCGGGGTCAGCAGTGCGTGGCCGGGTCACTGACACGGCACACGCTCCGAACAAAACGGCCGCGAGCTGCGGACGCTGGCCGGACACACGCCAGGGGTTCGCAGAGTCAGTGTCGGCGGCGGGCAGGAAGTGCCTCACACCGTCTGTGCAGCTACCGGCGCGTGCGGGAGGTGGTACCTCACAGCGTCTCGCCGTTCGCTGGCCGCGGTGTCGCCGTCTGGTGGCGACCGGCGACGGGACGGACAGACTGTGCTGCTGTCTCTCTCTTCCCTCCCTTTCTCTAACCCCCCCCCCCTCCCTTCAATAATTCGCCCACTGATTGACGCCGTCGATTAAAAGTGCTACGCCTGCCCTCACTCGCAGCCCCATTTCGAGCAGCTGTCAATGAATTAGCGCACCAATGCACCAAATAAACCCCGCCTGTTACGCTATCATGAAATTTGTCGGCGCAACTGAGCCGCATCGGTAACGTTTGGCGCTCCATTAGCTTAAGTTGTCAAGGCATCATTTTCGTGATACGGACCGACGGATCTTCGATCTGCCCCGGCACCGCTCGTCTCACGCTGCACAAGCCGTCTTACTGGAGTGCTACTGGGGTTCAATGGCTGGCCGCCCCGATCGGATGCTTGTCGGCCTTCAACCGGGAGGTCGAGACCTTCGCAGAAGGTTGGCCGTCCCGGGAGAGGCTAGATCTCATCAGGCGGCGTCAGACTTGGCGGAGGGGCAGAATTGCCCAGGTGCTCACAGGCCGCTTAAAATACCCAAGCGCCTCGGTCAAATTAGGGTATCAAAGTTTCAACTACCTGGCGGTCGTAGATCTCTCATTCGATCACGTCAGTCCCATCCGTGATGAGCCCATCAGCTCTGACATATGTTTGAAGATGTCGTCACGTCAATATATACCGGAATGGGAGCGTTGGTGATCTTCCACCAACGCCAAAAACACAGCATAACCAGCTCGCGGTCAATGTTAACATAATATCTAGTTTGCAGCCTTCCGTGAGGTCTATCCTCAAGGACGCCACCACCCTTGATTAGCCAAACCAGCACCAAGTAGTGCCAAGGTTGGTAGCAAAATTAACTTTGCGCAAAGGACAAGGACACATGAAACCAATGCACAGCTCATCTAATCGTGGCTCGTCCGTGTCGTCAGCTGTTAAGGCAGTCCCTACGAACATCAAAGCGTGATTCGCTACCGTTAGCAAAAAGACGTCGAGGCAGATAGACTGGCACTGAAGCAGCAAGGCGAAGATGACCTAAGTTCTGGCCATTTTTGCAAATTTCGTTGTCGATATAGACATGCTGTCCACCTAAGGACTTGCGATTATGACTGGGCTGAACAAATGCAAGTTTCGTTTGTTCGCATAAGACAATCGCACAAGTCCCAACATGGTATTGGGATCGGTATCATTAACAAACGTAGCCCAGAGTTCCATTCCTCCAAGCCACCCACAACCTAGTGTCATCCAACGGCCGTGCGAGCACGGCATCGATTTTGTAACGAATGAATCGAAAATGATTCAAGTGAACCCTTTGCGTTTAACGGCGGTTTACTCCCGCCCTTCCCTGCACGTCACGTTGTGAGCGTGGGCTCAACCGCGCGTCACCCCGTACCAGCGACGCGGCTGTTCAATTCAATCAGGCCGTCCGTGCATGCCATCCGGCTGGCCCCGCCCAGGCCGGCTCAGCTCGGCTCGCCGCGGCCTGCCCCATCCCCACCGACGCCTGCCTCCCACGGCCGGCTCTGGCCGGTCTCGGCAGCCGCTCGCCAACACGGCCGCCCACGGCGCGCGCATAATCCGGATATTACGACCGGCCAACTTTCAGACTGCCGGCGGCCGGGAGCGGCCGCAATTTCACGCCGGCGGCGGCGGCGACGGCGGACGCCCCGCGAGGCCACGCGCCGAGGCGGGCGGGCCGGGCCGTCCGCGCGGCGCCGTCGCCGCTCAGACGGCCGGGGGGCGGTGGAGCGGCACCCGCAGGCCGGCACGTCACCGGACCCCGCCGCGGTCATCCGACGCTGCCGACCGCGGCAGGGAGACAGACGGCCGGCACGCTCGCGGGCGTACTGTCTGCCAGCTACATTCGTGCGCAGCCATCACGACGGTCCTCCGTAAGTGACACGAGACGCTAACGAGCCGAGACAAGCCGCCTTTGCGAATACGAAATGAGGATCTTCAATGGGTCGGGCTCCAGCGTCGTCCATCCAGACTGTGAACCGCTGCTGACGCACGTCGCGCTGTCGGCTTTACGGGAAGCGTTCTACATTTGTATGGGGTTTTGAACTGGAACGGCCATCTTGAAGATCATTCGGTGCAGTTCACAGCCCTGCCATTCTTTAGACCTAAGTCCCCCTAGTTTCTGAGTTACACGCTCGCAAAGCCATACAGACTATTTCGTGCAGATTATTTCAAGGTCACCCAGGCACCCATAACACCAAAGTAACGTCATTCAAAAACTGCTATCCCATTGGTCATGTGGCGATCACGGCCAAGGCAAATATAGTTGTTGATTCGCTCATATCTGGCGTTCATGAGCACGATTTCCAAATATAACGGCCGTCAGTCGACTCTCAATCAACGTTATACGAGGTACGACGACACAGTCGCACCTTGTATAATCACAACCGTGACAGTGACGCATTGAGGGGCACAGGGGCACAAATGTTGTGTGGTCTAGTGCAGTCTTTTCCATGTAACAGTTTACCAATAGTTGTAAGTGAGCACGGCCTATCATATCTGATGCTTGATTCGGAATTTTCAAATGTGACGCGTTCCCTTTAATGATACCACCAGACGACCGGCGCTGAACCTTACAGCCCGCCCTCAGGCCTCGACGGCAGGCGTATGTGTGTGTGACGGCAGGCGTGTGTGTGTCGTGAGCACGGTCACCTATCGGCACCACGCTCACGACGCCGCAGGCTGGCCGCACCAGCCGGCAGCCCCGCCTCCGCACGAGCGGCACTCACCCTGGTCTTGCGCTTGTTGTCCTCGGACCGGTCCGGCAGCAGGTACGTCTTGACGTACGGGTCCGGGATGTCGTCGCCCTGCATGGGCAGGCTCCTGCCGGGCGGCGGACGTGCCGTCAGCGGTGACGTCAGCCGAGCGGGCCGGCGGCGGACCCGAGCGTCCATCGGCGCTGGGCCGGCCGGCGCGACACGGCCCCGAGGGGGCGGGGCGACGCCCCAGCCGGCGCGGCGCCCGGTAATGGATCCCTCCCGGCTCCGCGGAGGCCGCCGCCGCCGCCGCCACACCGTCACAGCGATGGCGTAGGTGGCGGCCCGTGCGCCAGACGACAGCCCGGCAGGTGTTAGTGTCAGCGATTGAGTCGCGACGGGCCTGCAGCCGGCAATGATCTGCCGGGCGAGAAGCTTGAGGGCCGCTGATCTGTTCGTAGTGGGAGATCTAACGGCAGGCTGGGTGCTGCGTCGCCCGGTGTTAAAAACTGAGTCACTTGATCATATCAGCGCAGGACGCCATCGGTAAAAAAAACCGTATCGCGAACAATTGCGCACTTGTATAATGCCTTCTAACGTCATTAAGTCAGGGTCAAGTGCTTAGAGCACGTCAGCTGACACTTCAAACAGCCCTCAAACAAATGCAAGACTAGCGTCATTTCAGTCGCAAGTTCGCACACCGGTTACTTGAAAGGAGCTCGTACGTCAGGAGACCGGCCTCATCACGCCATCAAACAACAGGTCACGAGGCTCGCTAGGATCCCCTGGGACGTGTCAGCGCGCGCTCCTTCCCGGGAGTCGACATCACCGCACGACGGCATCGTTTGCCATCGAGTCCAGCCTCGACCGCGCTGCCACGTCGCGCAGGTCGTTACCGCCAAGCAAGAAAGCGCCGGCACACAAGGCCTTCAAGCAGCAATCAAACGGCGCATCCATTTGCAGGGCTCACGACGGGGCTTCGGCGGGACCCTCTCGCCAAGCTGGATAGTCCGTCCGTAGAGAGTCGCGGAGCCCACCGCACACTCACCACGTTTAACATGAAGTCACATGTCCAGTTCCTCTGTCCGATCCGACCCGAGCCCCGGTCTTCCCCACAGGAGCGGCCCAGGCCGAGAGGCCGGCCGTCTGACAGGTACGGCGCAGCAGAGCTCGAGCACGCCCGGGTCACGGTCTTCCCCACAGGAGCGGCCCAGGCCGAGAGGCCGGCCGTCTGACAGGTACGGTGCAGCAGAGCTCGAGCACGCGCGGGTCACGGTCTGGACGCGGCAGGCGACCGGCGCGGGACGCACGGCGCCCGCCCGCAGCCGCCACCGTCGTCGCAACGCAGTCCCGGTCAGTGGATCCAGGACAGAGCGCCGGAGCGCCGGACAGAGCGCCGCAGTCAGTCCGGGACAGAGCGCCGGAGCGCCGGACAGAGCGCCGCATTCAGGTCAGGGGACAGCGCCGGGGCGCCGGAGAGAGCGCCGCAGTCAGGTCAGGAGAGAGCGTCGGAGCGCCGGAGAGAGCGTCGCAGTCAGGTCAGGAGAGAGCGTCGGAGCGCCGGACAGAGCGCCGCAGTCAGGTCAGGAGAGAGCGTCGGAGCGCTGGAGAGAGCGTCGCAGTCAGGTCAGGAGAGAGCGTCGGAGCGCCGGAGAGAGCGTCGCAGTCAGGTCAGGAGAGAGCGTCGGAGCGCCGGACAGAGCGCCGCTGTCAGTCCAGGACAGAGTGCCGGAGCGCTGGAGAGAGCGCCGCAGTCAGGTCAGGACACAGCGCCGGAGCGCAAGAGAGAGCGCTGCAGCGTCGGACAGAGCGCCGCAGTCGGGTCACGAGTGACTAACATCGTCAACTGACTCGATAATATCGGACATAGCCCCGGGCTAAGTGGTGACCTCGCCGATAAATCAGGCGGGTTTGGAGCCGGCCCATCTGTCCGTCACTGATGTCTATCATTTTGCCGGCAGAACTGGAGCCGTAGGCGCAGTTTCGCGACCGGACATTAATGGCGACACGGCGGTTTGTGCCAGGGTTGAGTTGGTCGTTTCGTGTTTATATACGGGAAGGCGGTGCTTAACATCCCGGCCGACCGGCCGTTCAGTTCTGTTTTCACGGGGGAAAAGAGGCGCAGGGCCCCGCCCCGATGTGGCGGCGGTTGACAATTGCGCCCCCAGGGGAAGCGGGTTGCCAGGCGCGCCCGGCGCGAGTGCGGCGCTGCCATGGCCAGGGCCCGGTTCCGCCGTGTTTTGACGGCCTCGCTGGCTCACGAACGGCGCGTTGCCTGGCATCAGGGATCGATCCAGGGCCGGCCGGCACGGCGGCTCCGGCCACAACTCAACACCGGCCCGACCGTGCTAATCCAATTTGCACAGTTTGAGTCAAACGGGCCCGGTCGAAACCCACCCGACGCCTGTTCTGCCACGGGAACAGGGGTTATAGTTTTGCGCGCGGGTGCATATTATGGGTACAACACTCGCTCAACCACATCCTCAAAAAATCTTAATTAATTATAGATTTTTGTCTCAAATATTAGATCTTTGCTGGCAACAATTGCACGGCTCAAAACATGCCCATTCAGGTAGAAACAACTGATTATCGTAGGCGCTTGTATATCGCAAGGCATGTCTGGTTTCATGCCGTGATGCTGAAACTGCGCAGCTCTACTTCAAATCCAGGGCAACGGCCTGGCCTTATGGCGACCCAGAATAGCGCTCCATCGAGACCCGACAGGCGGTCACGCGCGCCCGGCCCGGACATCGCGTGCTCCCAGAGCCGGCCTGATGGCGGACATGCGTGTCCGGACGGGGCGCCACGTGCTCCCAGAGCCGGCCTGATGGTGGACAGGCGTGTCCGGACTGGGTGCCAAGTGCTCCCAGAGCCGGCCTGATGGTGGGTAGGCGCGCGCTCGGCCCGGACACCACGTGCTCCCAGAGCCGGCCTGATGGCGGACAGGCGTGCCCGGACAGGGCGCCACGTGCTCCCAGAGTTGGCCTGATGGTGGACATGCGTGTCCGGACGGGGCGCCACGTGCTCCCAGAGCCGGCCTGATGGCGGACAGGCGTGTCCGGACGGGGCGCCACGTGCTCCCAGAGCCAGCCTGATGGTGGACAGGCGTGTCCGGACGGGGCGCCACGTGCACCCAGAGCCGGCCTGATGGTCGACAGGCGTGTCCGGACGGGGCGCCGCGCGCTCCCAGAGCCGGCCTGATGGTGGACAGGTGTGTCCGGACGGGGCGCCACGTGCTCCCAGAGCCAGCCTGATGGCGGACAGGCGTGTCCGGACGAGGCGCCACGTGCTCCTAGAGCCGGCCTGATGGCGGACAGGCGTGTCCGGACGGGGTCTGAGCCGTCGCCAGCAGCGGGGCGCTCAGCGCGCCGGCTGACGGCCTACGATGGTGTGCTAGTGTCACCGAAGACAGGCACTGCGGCGGCAAACCATGGTCAATTTCATGTAACACGGACTTGGAGTTTTGTTGTTGTTAGTAGTTTGTTCGTGCAAGCAGCGAACACTCAATTCTTCATCTCAGTAAAAGAACTCAATCTAATTATACGGACCAAAGCACGCGACCCGTGGACGCGCCGTTACTAGTCATCGACGCTCCGTCAATGCGTTTCCAGGACAACGTCGGCGTGTGATTTCGTAGAGCACTAAGGGTTTGTTCACTCAACTTTTCCATCACCGAGCAACCAGGACTGTGCACTGCCGTAGTGAGTACTTGCAGCCGGTGGGCACAGCAGCCTGGCGTGTGCGGGAGTCCAGCCCGGGGTCGGATCCAGGTCAAGGACACTTGGCACTGGACCGGTAATCAGCCGAGAGACTCTCCAGCAGCCGGCGCCGACTCTTCGCAACGCCGCGCGGCGACCCTGATTGGCGGTCCGGCGACGAATTCGGGGTAACCCGTCGCTGTCAACCAACCGACTTCGCCTCTGGTCCCATGACAGTATCGCAAGAAAGGTGTCGGCAAGAAAGGGTGATAATGTTAGAGAAGACACAAGTCCGGCAGCGTGGGCAGGGTCTGCCCGGAAGAGCGAACGCCGTACCAGCCTTCCCCGAACGCGTCATGATATCGCGTGGGACGACAATCGCCGGAGCCGACCTCAGAGCAGCGTCGCGGCCGACGTCCAATCAGTCCGGCGCCGGACATCATCACGGCTTGTTACTGTTGTGGCGCCATATCACACACGCTGCACCACTGTGTGGGAAGACCTGACCGGCGACAGCCGTTGATTCGACATGGACGACTCGACCTGTCAGGAGAGCGGGCAGCGCTGGACAGCACTCTCAGCTCTGACCGAGGCCGGTGACCCCAGCTCTGACCGAGGCCGGTGCCCCCAGCTCCGACCGAGGCCGGTGCCCCCAGTTCTGGTCGAGGCCGACGCCCCCAGTTCTGGCCGAGGCCGGTGCCTCCAGCTCTGGCCGAGGGCAGCGTCCCCCAGCTCTGACCGAGGCGTCGGCCGTTTCGCGGCCAGCGGTAAATGCACGACTCCGTGCGGCGCCGCACCCCGGCCGCCGGCCGTCTAATCCGGCTAACGAGACGACGGCCGCACAAACAGGCGAGCACGCGACTCCGAGCGGCGGCGGAAACGGCGCCGAGCCGGACACGGCACGGTGCCCCGACGCGACGCCGGCGGCCGGCGACGCACGCGACGCCGGCGTCCACACGGCGCACCGCGTCAGACCGACACCCGGACGCGGTCAGGCAGCCACGGCCGCCGGCGGCCGGCGGAGCGAGCTCGAGCCGCTGAGGAGCGGCAACCGCCGCCGCCGCCGGCCGCCGGCGGAGCAAGCTCGCGCCACTGAGGAGCCGCACCGCCGACCGTCAGGCGCTGCTGCGGCCTTCCGCTGCCGCCGCCTCCACCGTGCCGTAACGGGCTTGTTTGGCCGAACACCGTGCGATGAATCGGACAGCCAGACCCTGGGACCCCGCTCGGCCAAGCCGGCTGCCCAGCCACATCTGCCGCTCAGTTGACAGGTGACGTAGCCGGACGGAGCCGAGGAGCGCGGCCGGCTCGCGGAGCGTGCTACAAACTGTCCATTTTCCAACTGTTGCTTTTGCGAACCCGACATGAAGCTGCGAAGAGTTATGCCATTAAGAACTTTGTGATGCTTTTATTCACGTTTCACTTCATTATGCAGCCCTTTAAATGCTTTACAAAGCATTCCAAATTTGATCGCATTTTTAACTGACCATGTAACGCGGGCTCACAGGAGCCACTTTGTTGCGAAACGGCGCCGAATGATTGTCACAATACACAACAGTACTCACGAGATCTTGTGGACGACGATGACGAGCGCGCCCCGCGTCTCGCTGTAGCGCAGTGTCAGCTCCACCCGACCCAGCCGGTACTTGCCGGCCGGACTGGAGAGGGGGGTGCGGGTCAGATGACGCCAACTGTGTGTACACACTCGGACGTGCGACAGAGGGATAGCGCCGACGCGGGCGACCGTCACGCTGGGCGAGGCCGACACTTGGGCACCAGGCTCACGCAGACACACACAAGCATGGCGGGAAAGCGATGATGCGCATGACAGCACAGCCGAGTCCCCGCACACAGCCGGTTCCAGATGCTCGGTCGAAATTACCTGCCGATGATAGCATCAGCATCGCCAGTATTCGTCACTAGCGTCATTATCGACATTAGCGTCATCATCGTCATGACATACTAGCTGCAATCTGCGACAGGCCTTGCAATGTCTTAAACTTTCGCATAACAAGCTATCACACTGCCCCCCCCCCCCCCCCCACCACCTGTCGGTATCCCCTCCCCTTCCCCACCAGGGCCCCGCCCGGGTGAGGAGCGGCCATACCGCACGATCGCGCGCCGCCGGGCGGCCACAGATCCTCCCCAGCCGGCGGCAACAGGCGTCGTCCGGTGGCGAGACGACCGTTACCCGGCGGCGGCCCGGTTTATGAGCGGGGCCGGGCCGGGTGGGCCGGTGATTCGGGCCCGGCCGAGAGCGCCGCCCGCCCTGCTCTCGCCGGGAGAGCAGGGCGGATGAGAGCAGACAGGCGGCGGCGCCGGTGATTCGGGCCCGACCGAGAGCGCCGCCCGTCCCGCTCCCGCCGGGAGAGCAGGGCGGATGAGAGCAGACGGGCGGCGGCGCCGGTGCGCTCCGTAACCTGACCCGCCGACGGCGCGCCATCGGAGAGCGTCCGTCGCCGACCGGCCTTCGGAGGCGCCGCCGCCAGCCGGGCTGGACCAGCCGTCGTCGCCCGAGCTGGACGGCGGCTGGCTCGCTCCCGGGCCGGCCCGTGTGGCGAAGCGGGCTCGTTAACCGGCCAGCGCCGCCGGCGCCTCGCAGCCGGGCGACGGCCGGCCGGCCGGCGACTCGGCCTGCAGCCGCGGGGCGAGCCATGGTTCCGCGGCGGCTGCGGCACGATCGACGACCGAAAGCCGCGCCGTTTGGCCGGCCCAACCCCTCTGACGTCAGAACGCCTGACGTCAGACCCTCCCCCGCGCCCGGTGACGTCAGAGATGTGACGACGCTCGGTCGATGGCCGGGTTCGAGCGAACGTGGGAGGTCCAGTCGGCCGCTGGGACGATCGAGGCTCGCCGGGGCGCGTCTGAAAAGCCGCCCGTCCTCCCCCAGCATTCGAGCCACGGCCCACACACACGACCCCACCGGGCTGCTCCGCTCTCCCCGCCATTCACAGGGTGGACCCAAGTCCCCGCCGGTTACGGCCGTGACAAACGTCACGCGCGGGGCATCACCAGCGCCGACCGCGCGGCGCCGGGGCGATGCGCACTCTGGCGTGTCGAGACGTGCCCATCCGGAGCCGCGGGTGGCCACTCACTTCTCCGGCTTCCTCTGGCGCAGTCCGGACTCGGTGGTGGCCGCGTCTCCGGACAGGTTCTGGATCAGGCTCTCCCACCGCCTCCCGCGTCTGTCGCATCCAAATCACGTCAGCCCGCACCAATGCGGCAGCGGAGGGAGCTCAACAACGACCCTACACACGCATACGGCCCGGTCGAGCCACGCGGTCTGAACCACGTGTCAGAACACCCAACCTCTAAGAGGTCGCGAGCGAGACAAAAATACCCCCTCCCCCCCCCCCCCGGCTCGCTCAACACCACGGCGTGAAATGGCGGTAACGCCGGCACCACAGGCAATACCGCTCGTCGGGTACACTGCCCTCGCGCCGCGGGAGACGGCAGCGCGCGGCGCGGCGGGGTCGAGCGGGCGGAGGCGGTGCCCGGCAACAGGTGGCGTGCTCTAGTTAGCAAGCTGCCGGCCGGCCACCTCGCTGCGAGTGAGCCATTAAGCGTGCTACACGGGCCCGGTCAGACCGGCAGCCTCCGTCCGAAGGCCGCCAACGACCACTCCGGCCGAATGAAGCGGACGTAAATGACAGCGGCGGCCGGCAACGACCTGACAGACGGCTCGGGCAAGAGTGCTCCGAGCGCCCAGAGCTGAACAAGGCTGGCCACAGTACGCCGCATAGCGAGCGTGTGGCTCGAACTGCCCACACGTGAACGGGCTCGGAGCCCACAGGTGAACGGTATTGTCCGGGCAAGGAGAGCCCACAGGTGAACGGTATTGTCCGGGCTCAGAGCCCCCACAGGTGAACGGTATTGTCCGGGCAAGGAGAGCCCACAGGTGAACGGTATTGTCCGGGCTCAGAGCCCCCACAGGTGAACCGTATTGTCCGGGCTCGGAGCCCCCCACAGGTGAACCGTATTGTCCGGGCTAGGAGCCCCCCACAGGTGAACCGTATTGTCCGGGCTCGGAGCCCCACAAGTGAACGATACTGTCCGGGCAAGGAGCCCCTACAGGCGAACGGCATTGTCCAGGCTCGGGGCCCCACAAGTGACCGCTACTGTCCGGACTCGGAGCGCCCACAGGTGAACGGTATTGTCCGGACAAGGAGCGCCCACAAGTGACCGCTACTGTCCGGACTCGGGGCGCCCACAGGTGAACGGTACTGTCCAGACTCGGGGCGCCCACAGGTGAACGGCACTGTTCGGGGTAGGAGCGCTGGCAGGTGACCAGCGCTGGCCACAGCAGACTAGCTGCTGGCGATCCCAGCGCTCCGCAGCGACAGCGCGCGTGCGCCGGCGCCAGCTGCGCCACGGTGATCCAGTCACTGACCTGGGCCGGCACCGGCTCCGGCCGGGCCGGCTCCCCCGCCGCCGGCTCGGGCCGCGCCGGACTGGGTGCCGCCGCGTCCCCGCCGCCCGTCGTGTTCCCGTCGCCTGTCGACACAGCGGACGTCACAGGATAGCTGACAATCGGGCGGCCCAGTGACAGGCCGTGCCGTGCCTCAGCCAGCATCTGGCCAGGCGAATCATTCTGCTTCTACACAAAAATCGGCGGATTCTCGTGCCGTGCAAAGATGGTTAGTGATAACGTGCAGACTCCAGAACCAGTTGACCCGAAGTGCCTAGTCCCGTTACTGCCGACTCTAGGCCAGCTGGAAACTGCGGTCTCGTGCAACCTGCGCACAAAACTACCCTCACGGCGCTCTGGAAATAGAGTCGTCATGCCCCGGCGGACAACATTTCCCCACAAAGCAAGCATCGACCACGGAAGTCGGCCGACGTTAAACGATGACACCATAATCCGCAAACACCGGGGTGCCCGACACTCGCACAATGGTCTCCATGGAGACCGATGGCTGCCGACGACAGCCAGCGGGTCGATTAGCTTGCGGCGGCGTCCTTGAACCCGGACGTCTCCCGCCCCCGGACGGCGGTGACACACGCCAGCGGGCCGCCCCGGCCGGGCCAGGTCCGCCCGCCCACGCGGCGCCGTCCACCGTCGGGCGTGTGAAGCCCGCGGGCCAACGCGGTCAGGCGGGCGGCGGCCGGCCTCGCGCCGGAGACGGTGTGTCGGCGCCGGCGGACGCGCTCGGCAGGACGCGGGACGGTGCTGAGAGCTCGGAGGGGGCTGGGTGCGCGAGAGGACGTTGTGGCGACAAGACAGAACCGTGGCCCGGCGGAGCGAGTCGAAGCGGTGCGAGCGGTCACAAAACAGAAGCGGGACGGAAATCGGAAAAAGCGGATAAGCGGGACGGAATTCGAGGGTGAGAACGATGGAGAGAAGGGGGGGGGACGGGCACGCCAGCTGTGGTCCGGTCGACCTCTGAGAAACGACAGGTGGGCGGGAGACTTGCTTAGGGTTAGAGCGCTCCGAACCGG